TGTTTTTCTGAGGTATGACAAACCCAATGCAAAAGCCAGCTGTTATGGGCCTACCAGACCTACTCCCCACAGAATGAAACACTTTACTACTGTTGAATTCTGTGTGGTTGGGAAGGTTAGGGTTTAGCAGTCGGGACAAGACTCTGTTTGCTGTAACCTGAAATTATATTAACAGTGTTTGTACGAACGAGAATTCACTGTAATCACACTGTCTACATGAAACATTCTAACTCAGAAGGAGCTGTGCTATTTTTAGATTGAATAGCAGGACTCGCTAAGAGTTACAGGGGGAAACTTTTAACAGTGAGAATGACGGATCTATCTGGCTGGTTCTCAAAGTAGGGTGGTGCAGTCGGTGCTTCATGTCCATATTACCTTGAGGAAATCCCATGACGTTGAAGATTCTGTCCAGCTGGTCATGATGGTAGGGGTTGCTGGTCTTGATATCCTCCTGTCGGCAGTGGAAAATGGGTTCAGAGGTCAAGAGCTCGGCAAAGATGCAGCCGATGGCCCATATATCTGTAGGTCACCAAAACAGAGAAAAGGGTCAAGGAAGAAGTGTCAGTAATACAAGGGGTATTTCAGAAAATTGATAATTCTAGAAAATTTGGGCTACACCATGAGATCAATCTGTTGTGCTGGTCTGTTTGGCGGCTTACCTATTGCTTTGGTGTAGTGTCTCGCCCCTAAGAGCAGCTCAGGCGCTCGGTACCAGAAGGTGACCACTACGGGGTCAAGATCAGCCAGGGGCTTAAGAGGAGAGTTGAACAGCCTGGCAAAACCCATGTCAGCTGGGAAAGGAAACCGATAACACTCTTAGATTAACACATCTGCAAAAACATGGCTGCCGGAGTAAGTAGCACAAAATAAGAGGATGTATGACGACAGATAACACATTCTGCAGCATTTCATGTGCATCTTGCTTATGTTATCTCTAATGGAATAGAGTTTGAGACAACAGGTTTTCGCAGGGGAAAAATATAGTTCTGTCTGGCAGGGAAACGTACTCACCTATCTTGACCCGACCCCGTTCCGAACACTCTCCCATGACTAAAATGTTGGCTGGCTTCTGTGAAACCAAGTGAAAGAAACCACACAAACGATGCTTCTTACAAACCTCATTCATTCAATCAGTTTTACGCAACCGCTTGCTTATGCTTTGCTCAAGTTGAGTTTATTGACCTTTAACCTTTGAACTTACCAAGTCCCTGTGAAGCACCCAGTTGGAATGTAGATAGTGAATGCCATCTAGGATCTGATAGAGCAGTGACTTGACCATAGAGGGCGGTACAGACGCTGGACCCTTCTTGTTTGCCTTATTGGCTCTATGATGCTTTATGATGTGCTGATGAAGAACGAGAAAAAATATGAAGATCTCTGCAACTATTGAGATGAGTATTGTAATAAAATAATGCTCTCCAGTTGGGCAGTTTTTGGTTAAACTAAATAAATAGATGATGCCATGTTGTTCGGGGCAAAAAAAAATTTCTTAATATACATATTTTCCTATGTTGTTTTATACATTTAAGAGAATCTTGAACAACATTTTAATTAAGTTAAGTTGTCTGGTGTCCCCAGCTTACCCATAGATCGTGCTCTGAGAATTCAAAGAGGAGCCATACTTTTCTGTCGGCATGTGACAGGAACACTTTACGTAGACTGATCACGTTGGGATGCTTCAGCTCTCTTAGCAGCTACAAAGACACGAACAATTTACAATTAAAAGAATCAGCACAAACCAATAAATAATTTATGGACATTTCACAAACCTTTTTTCCGTTAAAATGACCCAACTACTCACAGCGACTTCCCGACATGCCGACATAGATATCCCGGTTCCCTCAATTTGTTTTAGGGCATATTCCTTCTTTGGATTTCCCTTCTTCGTTGTAGCTTTGTAGACATGTCCGTAGGTTCCCCGTCCCACTTTGCACCCCTCATAGTCAAACAGGTCCTCTACTTTCTCCCGCATGCTGGCCGTGCGCATCTTGAACTCGTAATCCATGGCTACGACCGGTCGTCTCTGTTCAACCTGTGAACTGAAAAAGGAAAAGTAACCTTGTTTGCAGCATACACCATTCCACCATGTCCACAGTTTATTTGTCCAATATTTCCCCACACTTTTGGAAATGTTCCTCAGTCCCAAATTCAGATGTCTTTTTATATCCTTTCGGTTACCATCACGCAGCTTAAGTTGTAGTGCCTAGTGGTACAAATTCTCTCCCACTAATTTGTACCATGACCGTAGTAACAGGCAGGCCTACATGTAACAGTTCTTTAACCCCAGAACTTTGAGGTTCATTGCCCGCCGCTTTCGTGGGAATGTGGAGGATGAAAAACCCCACAGTTCTGGGGATAATTTTGTGGTGCCACTGTTGACGCATGACAGTGGACATTGGTGGAGGGGCTCATTTTCCTAAAATCTAAAGCTTTTGAGGATTTATATGAATTTGGTTTGGTTAATCAGTTAATCAGTAATGTGTCTGATCTGATCTCCAAAATGGTCTCCAACACCCAGCTATGCAAGCTCAGATAGATCAGGTCATGTCAGGTTCGTGAACATGCCAAGATTGATGTTCATAACGTTAGGACTAGTACTTAGGGGGCCTAGGCCCTATGTGCAAATCCCCTTCACTTTAGAACAATCACAATAAACCAAAGCTATAAATGATAGCTAATCTTTTCCTTTTCTCTTTATTGTTAACATTTTTGCCACAAATCCTCAAAAATTCGGAATCCATGCTCAGTCTAAAGTGTGAACTGTTCTTACCAGAAACAGCAAGCAGTCTTACTCTGACGATCGCATTTATATTTCACTGTGCTCGTCGATATTGGTGGCGCTGTTGAAAAGTCGAGAATCAGCTCGTTTACTTAATTAATTGATGCACGAAATGGGACGAAAGAAATGAGGGCTGGCATGGCAGTCTGTACGTACGTGTAGCATTGCTAACCCCACGCATGCGCATTAATGACTTTAGAATTTCCCTGTGAGTTTGTGTACAAGTCAATGGTGTAGCACTTTTTGGCTACAGATTTCCACCCCTGACCTTTCCTTTCCCACCATGTAGCACTGTGTAGCAGTGAGTTTGTGCACAAGTCAATGGTGTGGCGCTTTTTTTTTGCTACAGATTGCCATGCCCAGGCTGATCTGCTTCCATTCGTGTTTGCTTGTGCGTCCGGTCGGCGGCAAGGGTTTGGTCTAATTCCTGGGTACCATTATAACCATATGGGTGCAGTGTTCCAATTCAAGGAAAATTCTCCGCCAGCAGGGGCGCGCAAAAGTACCCTCAGAGATTGTTTCAAAAAGAGGGGTCTGTTTGGGCAAAGAAATGGTGGAATTGTGTCAATATGGCCCAGGATCATCTCTGTTGATTCAGGGGCACCCATCTGTGGGCAAAGCAGACAAAAATGGGATTGAAAATTAGTCAGAAGAGCCCTAGGAAGGTGAGGGATGTCATTTGAAAAATGGCAGCTGGGAAGGCTTGGCAACATTCACTTTTTGGGGGGTGAGATTGTTTTGGGCGGATAATTAAAAAATTCATGAGTTAACCTACTAAAATTTAAAATCAAATGAAATCTGAAGGACCAAACAACACATTGATTTTTGTTTGAGAGGCCTCAGGGACTTCAGTTGCCTGCCATGGGGCTCCAAACTTGGTTGATTTTACACTCTTTTCACTGGAGCTTGACTTGGTTCAGTCATGGAGGAGTCCCCTCCTTCCTCCATGGTTCAGTGCACCCATATTGCGTGTCTAAGTCCAAGCCTATGAAGGTAACTGAAATTTCATAGGCTTGTAACGTAGCACGACATGCCTGCGAGATTCGTTTGTCCCATTTCGTGCCATGAACAGAGAGACGCCCCCCCCCTGCCTTTGTGTCGGTCACTGTTATACTGGTATCACAGGAATTCTTTTCAAACATCAAGGGGTGTGTTAAGTGACAATAGCCTGGAGTGTTGGGATTGGACTTGTTAGGGGTACACTTCTGTCCCAATTCGTGCCTGGAATAAATTTTTTTTTACATAACGAGTGCAGTCAGCAGACTTGAATAAAGGCTATTAGAGCATAAAAAGCAAATTTTTTTCTTCGTCCCATTCAGTTTAATACAGCGCGTACAATGCATCCCTCATTTATTTTGTCACGAAGCAAATATAAATGCTCATTTACTGTAAATAGGTTTTGATGTATCCACTTTTTTTAGAATATAGACGCAGTTACAAAAATCCATAGAAGAGCCATAAAATGTCAAAATAAGTCTAAATTCCAAATATTTCACTCAAGTCAAGGGGAAACGCCGCGCCGGCGCGAAGACTAGTCTCCTTTCAAGACTGGCAGAGTGACCATTATACCGTGTAATTATGCAGCTTGCCCCCACCCTTGCTGGTATTATTCAGCGGGACTGTGCATGTACATGTACGCAACATCACTTTCGGTAAGCTTGCCAGAACTCGGCAGCTAGCGCCACGCGCGCACGTACGGGTACCGGATACCGGTACGCTAGAGGTGTACAGTTGTCCGCGGAGCTGATGTTGTCGGCGCGACGGGGCATTTGACCGCCACGCCAAATCCCTTTCTGAACGGTTTCGCTACACCCGAAAGTAATTTTCATTCGATTCGAAGGAACCCACTGTGAGTTTGTGATATTCTCTTGTCTTTTTTTAATGGGAATACATTAATTGGGATTCTGTCTTCCGGGTTTATTGCCATCGCACATGGACAGATAATAAAATAGGCTTAGGTCCACATCATGATGTCAGTGTCAATGACTGCTACATGATTACATCCATTATGACCATATTGGGGGTTGTAATGTATACTTGGGGACCCCCCAGTTTTTTGACATTTTAATCTTGCAAAACTGTTAGGTCCCCCCCCAAAAAAAAGAAAGGCAACACTCTCTTTATTGCGCTGACCCAAATTTTGGAAATTTCAAATTCTGAAATTGTGAGAAAATGTGACCTTTTTACTGTACTGATAAACTAACCATGTAATTTTGAATCTACCGTGTGTCATGTGTTCAAACACTGACAGTTTCCCCTCAATATTTCCCTCAAAACCCTACCCTTTTTTGACAACATTCACCCTACAGTTATTGAGCATGTTGTCACAGTCTAGTCATCTAGGCCTACCCCAACGTCAATTCAAAAGTTAAAATGTAACTCTCCCTTCTATTATAGGAACAGGATCTCAAAATTTATAATCCCCCTATAACTTGGTCTTATCCCTACCATGGAGGAAGGCCCCTTCTCCCTCCATGTCCCTAATAGGCCTAGTATAAGAGTGATTTTGCACAATAGCATAAAGGCATCATGGAAGAAAAAAGGGGCAAACACGTACAACTATCGAATACAGGGCAACTTGGTTTGGACTTCGGACTTAGAGTTTGTTCCTCCATCTCCATTCATTTTGCGTTGCTTATTTCTCAAAGAGAAATTCAACATCATAGCCACATAGCCACCAACCAGGTACTCGATTCGACTTCTTCCCAGAGTCACTCCCATCCAATTCGACATGGTAGCCAGTGATTCTAGGGGGTGGCCCAGTATTCTATAGTTACTCCCCCCCCCCCAGAACTGTGGGGTAGTACGTCCATCCCGCTCCCACGAACTGCGCAGAAAACAAGCCTTTTTTGTGGAGGAAAACCCCTGAGGAATAAGTCTGGGTAAAACCCACGGAGTCAGGCAGGGACTGAAAACCCAATCCACATGTGGACCGGGCTGGGAATCGAACCTGGGACCACAGAAGTGGAAGGCGAGGAAAGAACTACCTTGCCTACCCGACTACCCATAGAAATGCTGCTCCATTCCCCCAAGAGGTCTACATTTATATATGGTAGACATACCCTTGTACTTTGTACCCCCCGAAAAAGGGGGCCAAAACCATGCCGATTTTCAATAAAAGGTGCAAATATATTTCTTGATCAGTGTCCAAGAGTCATGCTGTTCACGTGTACTTCTGAAGATGAGCTGCAACCAAATGGCTGACTACGGCTGTGATTAATACACAAGACATGGCAATTGGCTGCAGCCACTTTCTATACGTATGTGTGTGTAATTCTTAGCCACAACTGGACTGACTGGTTGAAATGGCAGTTGGCTATGGCAGGCCGAGGGTCACAGTGACCAGTCACAGGGCTCCACATTATTTATGCCCAAATAGCCCAAGCAACAGCTGTTGGATCTGAGAGCATGTGAATTCCCCGTTTGCAGTGTGAACAACGTCTGTGAACAAGTGCCATCTCATACGTGGCTTGTGGCGATCTTCTTTGGTTTGGGCCCCCCCTTTTTGTACAAAGTACGAAGGAATGTAAGCTACAATACGTGGAACTCTTGGGGGAATGGAGCAGCACTTCACCACAGAATCCCTGTTTGTGTCCTGTTAAATATCATGTAAAGGCTACGGTGAAAAACCTTAAAAGGTTTGTATTCATGGTTTATCTCCTTGCCCCCAGCAGTTCACCACGGCGTTGAACACTTTCCCTGTTGAGCGGATTCCACCTAGCATGCACAGATGGAGTTTCCTGGGGTGGGTTCCGAGGGGTGCCAGCTGACACACTACGAGGGCACCGAGAAACTCCTGGAAATTTGGTTTGAGCCCCTCCGCCACTGCAACGGTGACATACAAAGCCAAGGCACCCCCGACCTGAAGGTCATTCCCAGGTCAGAGGTCATGCTCACTTCTTTTTTTTTACACATACAAGCCAGAAGAAGATAAAGATCACATCAGACTCCAGCTTTGTTTTGAGAATTCTGCAGAAGAAAGCCCACTTACAAAACCGTTCACTACCTTTGGCAGATTTCTTCCTATGCTTAGAAATTCAGTAGGATAGTTATTAGATTTATTCCATGGAATATTGCGGCTTTTCCAAATTGTCTGTTTTCTTTATTTCTTTACTCTGTCCAAAAACTACATCTTTCACAACTTCTTTGACGAGAAATGCTCACTTCTGTTTTTCCACCAACACAGAACTTGCCTAACTGAGCTTCTTACCTTAGTTCATTGTGAAATCGTGAGTGAAAAGTGCCGAGATGAACATCACGCATATGTGCTCAGGTAAGTCAATGACTCTTGAAACACTGGTTCACGCATATACATGTGTGCAGTTTGTGTTAAAAAGTTGGATTGATTGTATGTGGTCGGTCTTTTTTTTTTAATCCTCTTTCAGCGAGAGCAGCATGTTTCTCTCCAAGGAGCGGTTCATCTTGAAGACGTGTGGTACAACCACCCTACTAAATGCCATCGAACCCTTCATAGCATTGGCCAAACAGTACTGTGGCTTCAAAGTCAAGGTTTGATCATTTTGATCTGGTTTTGAGTTTGTCAAAACTGGCTTAGTCACTTTTATTGTGCTAGGATAGTTTGTCATCTACTTGGTGTTTGGGGTATGACTTGATTGTTTTTGTCTTCAGTAAACTGTAGGGAAATCCGCAGCCAGGCTATTGGGCCCCTCTTGGGCTTAGACTATGTTTTAATATGTAATATGAACACCTGTTGAAGATTGTGAGGATTAAATTTCTGAAATTTTGGAAAAAAGTATCAAAAGTTTAAAATTTTTAAATTCTGATAACTTGATTGTTATTCTAAATTATTTAGTTTTCGTAAGTGATAGTCTCACTAGCGGACTGACGGTTAAACGGCGGAATTCTACGTTGGTTACTTAGTTACGTTTGAGCATAGACCAATTTTGTTTGATCCTTCTTTAGGATGTCTTCTATTCCCGCAAGAATTTCTTTCGTCCAGAGCTGCAGGCCGTCCCCCACCGCAACTTCCAGGACGAGGTCACGTACCTGGACACACTCTTTGACAGTAAGTCTTGGGTTTCCATGGAAAGTAGTCCCAGACCAAGGGAGCAATTTCACTGCCAGAAATTTGCCAAGCAGACAAATAATTTGCTAAGAAGAAACGGGGTACTAGCCGATACCCATGGATGTTTGTTGCCATAGGCATGTTACCAGCAGATATACTTTCCTAGTAATTCTGTCAAGTAGCTAATTAAAATTGTTCATCTCGTGTTAAATGAAAGCATTTAAAAAGTGGCGAGGGTAAACCTTGACATTATGACAGCCACGCTTGGTATTCTTTCTTTTGCTAGGTGGAGCTGCCTACATGCTGGGTAGAGTCAATGGGGATTGCTGGTAGGTATTGCATAACAAATATGATAAGTCTCTCTTATGTGGGAAGGGCCAGTACCAAAATGATTGTGTCTCATGGTCTAAGCTTTGATAGCAGAGATAAAAAGATGTGGTGGCGTGACAATAGCATAAGCCCCCCCCAAAAATCCCAGAATAGTGACGCCTCCTTTTTCTTGATTCTCTTTTAACTTGATGGTAGGACCCCGCAAGTTTTTTTGGGGGGAGGGGGGGAATTTTGGAAAAATGTGAAATCGGAAATAAAGATACAGTGTGTATGTTGTAGTTTGAATGTTGTGCTGAATGGTCCAACAGACTATGCTTGCAATTAGTGCCCTTTAGAAAGTCGGCCAACTCACTTCATGTCAAACACATGCCATCAGGCCGCTCTTGCTGGTGGAATTTTTAACTAGTTGTCACATAGCTACAGTCTGAATCAGTACATTTTAAAAGGTACCAACAAATCTACCTACCTACCTTGATTCAAAAGCAGTGCACTGGGAAGCAGAACTATTTTTTTTGTTTTTTGGGGGGGGGTTTGCTTATGTATGTTGTTTTATCCCTCGTATCAGATAACGATAATAACTGTTCACATATTACCAAGTAAGAGTATTACTAGACTTCTTGTTCTATTTGTTTATGATATGAAGGCATCTGTACACCCTAGACACCTGTATCGGCCAGAGCCTACCTGACCAGACCCTGGAGATATCCTTTTCAATTCTGGGTTGTGCCTCCTGAACTTTTTTTTTTGGTGGTACCATTCCAGCCTGAATATTTGGCTGTTGATGTAAATAACTCATGCATCGTTCAGACTGGAGTTTTTTGGGTTTTTTTTTTGCCTTTTACAACAGCTGCATGACACAGTGTGTCACTGAACTTTTTTTTCCAAAGGTTACGTCACCGATCCATAAAAAAAGCCATTAATAATGGACTTTTCTGGCTTAAAATGTTTGAAAATTGCTGCTCTTCAGTTAGCTATGAAATGAATGTGATCTGTACGCCATGGCATGCAGAGCGTAATTCCATTTTAACAAACTGTTATGATGATGACCTTGACCCTACGCAATTACATCTTGATGACCCAGCTTGACCCCAGTGTCATGCAGCACTTCAAAGACAACACAGGACGGAAGGCCGCCGATGTTACCAAGGTTTGTTATAATATAACAAAAAGAAATAAATGCCTGTGAGTTTTGTTTTTGTTTTCTAAATCTAGGTATTCTTCAATACCCTAAAGACACTAAATTTGCCTGTGGGTATTAAAACTGTTTTTCCTTGACTCAAGATGGTAGGGTTCAAAGTGCAGATTTTGACCTACCGCATGGCGCAGAGCAACTTTTTGAGATGGAAACCTTCTAAAGAATCTCAACTGAGTAATATGTGTTGACATAGAACTCAATTGTGCATTCTAATGACCTTGATTGTCTGCAAACGGATACCTTGACTACAGGTTAATATACATGAGATATGCAGAGGAGACAAACCTGGCCAGATAGACGGATTAACTTGCAAGATAATTTTCATATAATTTGCACTTGCATAAGGCCAAAAAAAAGGGTTTGTCACTGTATGGCATGAGATTGGAAAATTGAGGGCACTTTGTTTTATTCTGGTTCAGTGTGAAGCACTTGTAGATTTAACTGACGAGCAATAGTAAGAGAGGTTGGGATGGCACATGGTTTCAAATAAAATGAGCGACACTTGAAAGGGTGGTAATTAGTTGCGTGCATGCATAAGTCCAGGGCACCCTTTTACACCACATGCATATTTCAGTACATACATTTTTTCTTTATTTCCAGTTTCACATTTCCATACCCCCTCCACCGAAAAATGTTATAAGGTCACACCGTCAAAATAGCGTAGGGCCCGGAAAGAGGACGCCTAACAAATGACTTTTGGCCTTAGCCATACCATGGTAATACCGCATGGATTAGACAGAATCTAATCCACAAGCTTTTTAAATGTCAGTACATATATGCACTTGTTTATTGAACTAAATTCTTTTTCATGTAAATGAAGCAGCAGATGAGGCATTTGACCTATAAAATACTGAATAGCAAAAGTGCAGTAACCACTCCCTCGTACATCATAACTTCCTCTCTGCAGGAATACGTCCAAAGCAAATAGAAGTTTTTGGCAAGCCTCAGTTGATGTAGCATTGTACAGTTTTGTTTTTACTTCAGTATTAACACTCTGGGCAACTTGGTGAGAATCTCTCGGAGCCCAAATCGAACACTGCATTGTTAACCAGTTTGATGTCGAGGCACTTGGAAGCTGTAGTTTGAAACCTGTCAAAACGCCAGCCACAAGGCATGGTGTAAATATTCCCTTTGATTCACAAGATAGTCATCTTAATGCTGTTTTTGTTGCATTTGTGTGATTTGGTTTCTGTCTAGGCATCTGGAATAGCAGACCTTTTGCCTAACTGTCAGATTGATGACTTCCTCTTTGAACCCTGCGGCTATTCCATGAACGGACTGCTGCCCAAGGTGAGGATTTACACCACCTCATGAAACAGTCAACAAAGTCCCAACACTTGAATTATCATTGGAAATTTGTATACAGTGAAAGCAGGTTTGGCTGATATAAACTCACCTTGATATAAATCGAGATTTAAATCAAATGAATTTTTTAAAATAATCATTTATTTAAATCAACATACTTAATTTGGGGGGGGGGAAATGTTTAAAACATTTGAATTCTTTTTTGCTGATTGGAAATGTTTGCAGGTTTTGCATATTTTTAACAACAAATCCCCCCTCTGTGAGCCTTCCAGTTCCTACTAGTATTAACGAAGTAGGAATGCACATGTTACACACAGCCTGGGTTGGCAAGATTTGATTTGTTCAATTTAATTCACTTGTTTTGATTTAAGTCAGCTTTAGGGATTCTCTAAGTGAATTTGATGCGAAGGATTTATTGTCATGACTTAATTTGACTTCATTTGAATTGCCCACTTTAGAGTTTGACATGTTAAAGTGTCAGTGAACAGTGTACATCTACCTTTTATGTACAGGTGCACAGGTATTTTATCGAGATTAGAAACTACGGTCATTGTGCAGTGTAACTGGAACCACTAGATACCCCTTAATAAAGTGATTTTTAATCAAGTCGTTGCTCTGTGGAGCTGGATCACAAACAAAACAAGACTGCTTTTTTTCACACAGAGTAAGGTAAAATACTGGCATCTTGTACCTTCACATGTAGCATGCAAAATAAATACATGTACACGTTGTTCATGGCAAGTTTCCCAGTCATTAGTCATTTGATGCAAGTGTAAGTACCCTGTTCATAAATTCTTGTGAACTTTAGTTTTGTCAAAACTTAGAGTTCGGTTTAAAAACCTGGTATGCACTTTATCCTTGATTCATGCACTTGTCTCTGAAGCAAGTGTCTTCTCTGAGGGTGCATGTACCCGGTAGGTGTTATACTGCATGCATTTCACCAAGACTGAGACGTGGTGGTTTGTGAATTTAAAACAAATTACTTGATTTAAATTTCTTAATTTAAATCCAAATTTGTTTTATTTTGTAACCAAACAAATAAATTAAAAAACTGTTACACGTGCAGTTAATTTGCTTGCTTTGAATAGACAATTTGCGTTTGAATAGACAATTGAGCTAACTTTTAAAAAATAAAAAAAATCTGATTTAGATTTTAAAATCTGATTTAAATAAAAAAATCTAAGGTTTATTTATTAACCCTAACCCCCTAGGCCTTTTTTCTAGGAACCATCCTGAATCCTCCATAATCCTGTGATTTTCAACATGAAAAAATTGCATTCAGCCCAAATTCTCCCAAATTTCTTAAAAGTGTCATTTGGAGGTTTGCCTAACTGCCCGAATCCTTCAAAATCCTCTGGCAATTCCTGTTATTATGTTGAGACTGTGCGAATGGCACTCTTGAGCTGTGCAGTTGATTCAAAAGAAATATCCGGCTGAATTTGTGCTTGAGTAAGCACAAACAATGTGTGCCGTCCTTCGAATCAGCCATGCATTTTGCCACACACCCTGAATCCTCCAAATTCCTCCACTTTGCAGAAAAGGATTTGGGAGGGTTAGGATTAAAGAACAATTCACCCTGAGTGAAAGAAGTCGATGTGAATGATTTGTTTTGTTTTGTTTTTGTTGCAGGACGGCTACATGACCATCCACATCACTCCCGAAGAGGAATACTCCTACGTCAGCTTTGAGACCAACATCGAACTGGTGAGCTATCGAATCACATGAGGTTGTGGTGGTGACTTTGAGGTCATGGTGGTGTAATTGATCTCCTCACCACCCTCCTAAGACCAACCACCACAAAAGCTCTCAATTTCTGTGAAGGTGTACAGCATTGGGGATTTTGCATCTCTTGCATTATAGTAAGGCAGCTTAAGTAAGGGGTGTTCACATTTTAGTCCCTGGTTCGAATCTTACTGTGCCCCGATGTTATTGCTAAGTGAGGCCAAATTCATGGTAAGTTTCTTCTTCCCTCCAGGAGGACTATGGTGACTTGGTGAACAAGATCCTGACGACATTCAACCCTGGAAAGTGCGTCATGACTCTGTTTGCTAGTAAGGTAAGAGGAGTTTGTCAGGGGCATCGCCAGGATTTTTTCCCGGTGGGCGACGGACCACTTTTTTTTGGGGGGGGGGGGGAATTGGGGAGGGAGGAAGCATTCATCAGCTACGAAGTTGTAAACCATTTACAGTTTCAGGGAGTTCATTTATCGGTTGTGTTTGGAGGGGAAATATCCCCATTGCGACACCCATGCATGTGACTAGTCTGCCCTCCCTGTTGAGCATTGAATCTTGACTGTCAATGAACGTAAAGTGGGAACCAGCTGAATTTAACTGCTGTTCATTTTGGCCTTGTTCTGAAGCTGTTCCGCCCATCCTTGATCGTGAATCCTTTTCTGTCAATTGTGCGGCAATCCAATATTTTTAACCCTTTCTGTTTTGTTTGTTTTTGTTTTCAGGCGGCCAAATGTGGCACAAGCTTCAAAGCCCTCAGTGAGACTTTCCTGGACAAGTACCGTCGCCGTGACCGGCAGTTCTCGCAGTTCCAGAGCTATGACCTGACATTCGCGACATACATCCGCGACAAACAGGTGTGAAGTACTGCTACATTACCCTTTCAGCAAGGTGGAATGAGATGGCCAAGAAGCGCTATGTGTATATTTTTAACTTTACTTTACTTACTTTAAGTAAGTAAAGTAATTTAAGTAATGAAAAGGGAATGAAGGGTTGTTAGAACTCTAATGAAGTAACTTTGGTCACGATATGTCGTTAGTGCACATTAATTTCACGTTAAGAAAATTTAATAATTGCCAAGCACTTGTGAATTTGATCACTTGCAGATGGTTGATGGGTGGTAAACTAAGTTTCTAAAATGTGTGGTTGACTCCACTGTCATGCCATCAGTACAGTCGAACCTCGTTGGGTAAGAAGTCGTTCCGACTTAATTACCTTGTTAATTATCTTGTTCTAACAGGAACCCTGTATTAGCAGGAATGAAAAACAAAAGAGTGGGACCTAAAAAAGTCCTTGTTACAAGCGGAATCTTGTATTAACAGTGCTCTTATTAAGGAGGTTCGACTGCATCTGAGAAAGGTGCAGGTATTACACAGCTTGGGCGTGATTTAGGCATAATTTGTGAATTAAAAATGTAAATAAAATGCTTACGATTCTGGATATGGCTTTATTCATTCTTTCCTGTTGTAGATGGGAGTACTCTTTGGGATGCCTAAAATGTTCACTTTCCAAATGGAAGGACTTTGAAAATGCACAATCAGAGTATTAATGTGCATTTTTCTTTTTCTGTTTTTTCACATTTATTAAAGTGTGGCTAAATTTTGTTGGTTTGCTTTGAAAGTAGTTGCAGTTCTACAAATTGTGTGCCAGCGATTGGAGAAGGCTGCCAAGTCTGATTACAATCTGTCATTCCCAGGTCATCTGTGTTGAAGAATCAGGCACGCAACTTTTCCTCAGATCAGCTGATTTCCTGACTTTTCACTTCATGCTCATGCCATTGAAAATTGAAAAACACTACAAAGTCTTGTTAAGATTGAAATTTCCTTGTTGTGTTGTCGGTCCAAGTCGCATGCCTGAAGAATTTGTTTCACTGTGATATTCATCAGTATGCAATTACTGAGATTGTACAACTTTTGGGGCTTCAAAGTTGTTAACACTCTGCCCTGAGTTGAAGTGCCCCTCTCAACGCTGCCCAAGTGAAGACTACATTCAAACATACATTGGCCATGCTCGCTCTTGGCATCCTGTACTAAACGCACATAAACCTACGCACACAAGCGGCGAGTTCTTACCAAACGGCCATTATTGCTTTGTAAACCATGCCCTCTTAGTTCTGCCAAGAGCTAACTGCATGTTAATAGCCTATATTTGTTTGGTTTTTTTTACTTTAAAGTTGTATATCTCGGATTTGAAAAAAAAAATGAATTGTGTTGAAATAAATTGGTGTACTGTTATGGTACTCGGGCATCCACTGTAGATGTTTTGAATCAAAGCTTGTGGTTTTTGTGTTGTTTCCAGAGTTCCGCAATGCACGTCCTGATACAAATTTTACTGGTTACAAAGCAAAACCATTTTATTTCAGGATAAACAAAATGAAAAATTAAATTCAGCACCTATATGATCTACAAACTAGAAAATAAAACTAACATATCTGATATGGCAAGCACACATTTCTGAATAGCAACACTCAAAAGTACTGAATACAACATATCTAGAATCTGGACTTACAGCTTCACAGGACAAATCACTTTTGAAAAACATCACTCATTCTTTCATAAAGAACACCAGTGAACATGGACAACACACATCAAACAGACAAAGGGGGAAAGTAATTTACATTCAGATGGTCGCAAGACTGACCACATAATGCAGGTGGTATTTCTCTAGTTGTCCACAATATAAGGTCCAAATTTCTTGCATCTGAAAATTGCAGATGTCTTCAGCTTAAAAATCTTGGTTAAATAAACACAGAAAGCACAAGTTGAATAATAAATACAATTATACTTTTCTACTGAATTTGATCTCTCAATAAATTAGTTTTATCAAATTATCCGGCCCCTCTTGCAGTGAGTGATGTGTCTGAAGTCGGGCAGTGGCTGATAATTGGGAAGGAACACAATTGGTCTTGTTCTCAAAATGCTATCAACCTCTGACCTGCAAATATCTTTGCCATTGTTCACAGTTTATCAGCCTGACTTGTAAATGGACCCAGGAAATGATAAAATCTTGGCACCCCAGCGAAGCACACGTCATTACATAATAAATGCCTACTCGACTATTGAATGAGTTTAGTTTTCACTCTTTGCAAAAATAATGCATGTTAATTGAGTGGACCAGTTTTTAAACGCATGTTTTGCTTATAAACCTCTTTAAAAAGTTCAGCAGTTGTTGGACATATACACACAAAGTCCATCCAAAATTGACTAATTCAACATTGACTAGATCTTGACAAATGAGTTTCCTAATGCTGTTTCTGAGCTGAAGGCTTGCACAGCCCAATACAAATGACTGGAAAGAGTAAATAACACCTCCAAAAATATCGACAATTAACTGTATTCAAACTTGAGTTTGTGAAACTGTAAAAAGTTGAAGTGATTGAGTGAGAAAGAAAACGAAAAGCCGTGAGAAAAGGTCCAGTCGTTTTACAATGTTCCTTCAGCCAAGTATTCCAGTCGGTCATATGTAATTACATGTAGAAAACTCTAGTTCATGTGTTTTAGAGGAATAAAAATTCAAAGGGCTGCCCTTCTGCAAAGAATTAAAATTGAACATGATCATTCTTTATAAATATAAAATATGGCAAGTCAATTTGCTTCAGTTGTTTACAGTGATGTGCTTGGGATACTTCCCAAAAAATTAAGAAAGTTAGCCAAATTTTAGATGGTCTGAAATCCTGGATTCTTGTATTGACTACTGAAGCCTAAAGTGTTTTTTCATTCCACATTTTCTGCGGTTAAAGTTCTCTACACTCCACTTATTTTCCCAAGTTCGTTATTGCCTGCCATTTTTTTTCTAACCACATGTTCATGATAACAGGCTATTTTTGCTGGGAGAAAACAGTTTTCAAAATACCAGCAATGAAACCTCTGTAATTGAACTCTTGCCATCACAACTTGGCAGTGGTAAATTATACTACATCAAATGAGTAGGCTCCTCGTGTTTTAAACCATTCAGCCTGTTAATTGACTACATGTCATAGCACCACTGGATGATGTAAGGCTTTCTTAAACTAGAGAATACAATGCTGATGTCGACCAATTTGCATTTGAATGCACGTCTCAAAGACTTGATATCTGCCCAAGATGATGGTGCCTACAACATAACATGTACATGGACATCATTCAGTGCAACTAAGTTACTCAGCAGAACCACATTCAACTAGGATGTTTTTCTACTGAAGAAAAACATTGATAGTGCATTTTTGTTTGTTCCATGTCAATTCAAATGAACTGACTTTACCGAAATGCTCAATTTTTACAATTACAATTGAGACTTATCTATCTTTTGGGGTAAACATGGTTTTGCTTGACCCAGCACACTAAAAATCAACTCATTAAATTAAACACAACAGCTGTTGTGAAGTCCAAAATTTGGGCTACTTTCTTATCCTGTGTGGCTGAGTATCTCAAGCTTGATAAGGCCATGTTTCGGTTGCTATGGCAGAGTTGTTTAAATTAACTGTCCTTCCACTTTGAAGACGACCACTGGCAGTCTGTTAGATTTTCAGAAAGGCCTCCAACTTTTCATCGTCAACAGCATCCTGAAATTCCTCAAAGCCCTGTGTGAACAAATCAGCAAGTGAGAAATGCACTGAGAGGAAAATGTTCTCTAAAACATGGGTGTGATTGAGGTATACAGAACAAAGAGCTGTGCAAAGGCCCTGTAATTTGGTCTTCAGGCATCATGGCAGCCCAGAAAGGAGACAACTGGGAAGACAGTGTATGTTGGAAAGTACGGTCTACAACAGTGAGACCAAACAATTGCTGCAGACGCATGTGGGAGGGGGGTGCTATGGACACTAAGGAGCGCCAAGAATCAGCACATTATGGGTACACACTGGTTTCACGAGTGTGAATGCAGGGAGTGAATGAGGTCAGTTTTCATCAAAATGTGCACAAAAACACTGCATCTCTATGAGAGAGGAATGGATCCGAGTATGGACGCAAAATGAAAATAGGGCCACAGTTACAGACAATTGTACAACTAAATGTTGTTCTATGGGAACGTTACGGAAACTCAACGGCAGATAGACTTTCCACAAGTCAAATCAAAAGATATTCAAAAGGAATTCTGACCAAGACATTCCTTCATCAGCATTCTTGTTTGATTTGACTTGTGATGCACCAGACTGCTACTTTCATAAGGGCAAGCTCGTAAACATTGCTTACTCCTAAGTAGGTGTCGTCGTTGCACAGTTGAGGAGGCAAGCCCTTGGGGTCTCCCATCAGTTCCCTCATTCTCTCCTTGGCCGTCTCATCATGAGCAATGTCAATGCTCTCGTACTCGTACTTCTTGGAAGACAGAATCATCTCAATCCTCTGCTGGTGCTTCTTGATCTGTATGGAATTTCAAAGCAAAAGTAAACAACAGTCAGTAAGCCTTGTCAGAAAGAAAATGAACCTTCTTTACACCCAGACATGTAGGCCAGATGCTTGGCGGGGGCTAGAAATCGTGCACGAATCTATGATAGTGGCTGTTGAAGTTTCCTTAGAGTTCTGGGTGATGAAAAGCCAGTTCTTGGACACATTGAATAGAACAACCGCATACATATGTTACGCCCCAACTATAACATCAGTCCCAACTATAGTTGGGACTGTCCAAACTGAAGTGCTGTAGTTGGGCCAGCCCAACTACAGCACAGAGGTCCAGTGTGCATGTGCCCAGCATGTGCCAAAGTCATATTGTTTACAACGTCCTGTCATAGATGAAGTGCCATATTTAGATGAACTATGTCAAGTGCGAGATTTGTAAACCTGGATAAGGTTGAGAAATTTTCTATAGAAATTGGTCAAAAATAGTTGAGCCAGCCAAACTGCAACACTGCAAATAGGACTGTCCCAAATATAGTTGTCACAAATTACGTTATAGTTGGGGCGTAACACATACGAAGACCATGGACACGATGGATGGAGAGAAATTCCTTCGCTATCCTTTACAATGCAAACATGGCATAGCAAGCTGAGATACTAACTCCCAGGTTGGAGGTTATACTCGAAAAGTAGAATTTGATGACCATGGTGAGGACTAGTATGCGTTGCTTGGGGAAAAACAGTTGTAGAGAGCGCCCGACAGTCTACCGAAGTATTTACAAAACACGCCTCGTCTGCCTTCCAAGATTCTGCAGTCCAGGTCCGGTCTTAATACATAATTTATGCAGGGTGCAAAGGCTAGGCTCGCTTGTGCAGACATGTACATCGGGAGATGCACGTGCGCCCTCTGTTGGCGCTTGAAAATTTTATTAGGGTTCTTCAAAGGTCGCATACAAAGTTCCCGTCCTTTATTTGTAAGCAGTAACCCACAACCCAACGACACAGATATTCTAAATTTTCAAATATTGACTGTGAGTTGCCCGATAAAGTTTTCACGTACACGTGCATGTATGTTGAGAGCATATTGTAATAGAATCAAGATTTGAAAGAACAATGGTGATTTAGAATCAAGATTATTAGGGGTCTAAATACATGTTTATGAATTTATTGAGTTGAGCCTAGAATCCATCAAAAGAAATTATTGTCTTGGAATTGTCTTGTACCTAAACGTCTCTATTTATAAAGCGAAATTCGGCAAGGCCACCACTAGAAAAAAAACCTTGCAAAATGTATCTGACTAATAATGTAATAAAAACCATAGCGTACAGGGAGCCCCATTATATGTCATCACTGGTATCCTACCCAGAAAAGACATGCCACCTTAAACGGTTGTACACCATCGATCTATTGTTTCTTCTCTTCGGACAATCTCCATAGCAAGTAAACAGCGTTACGGAAGCGCATGCCATTCTGCGTTCTCCGCGACTTCGTGCTCGTATTCAGATGTTATCGAGAAATCTTGTATTCATTAAATTAATGGTCGAAACTACAGCCGAAAAGGAGTGCAGAGGTAATCAAAGCTTGTCTTTAAGTTGAACTTTATGATCAGTGTAACATCAGGCAAATGCGGTAGGCCCCTAGTGATTTTTGAGAAATTGCGGTAGGCCCCTAGTGATTTTTGAGAAATTGTCTTGGCCCTAGAAATTAATTCAACTTTACACGTATGCAACATGTTCAACAACATGTTCAGATTTTTTGGACATGTTTGGCTATCAATTTTCTGTTAACACGAAAAATAGTAGGGCCTACGTTAACGTATCGTAACATATCATGCATTGTGTGTAGGCCTAGTGGCACAAGTGAGAGATTAGGTGAGGAATTATGTGAGTCAAGATTTTCTGTCTCTTTAATGTTAGGCGTAATTGGCCAATCTGCACACTTGCCCAATCGATCGCCCTTTGGGTTGGTCAATCCTGTATGAAATCTTAAGACTGACGGGTCTTGCAAGGTTTGAGCAATCGCGCATAGGCCTATCAACCAATTGCACCCAATTACATGCCAGACATTGATGATTGATACCAAACTGTCAGACTGTCCTTCTCAGTGTTAATAGTATTAGGTAGGACTTGCAGGTTTGGAAAATTGTTTGCGGTGACACTGTTGTTAATTACGACGCATCTCAGATAGCATCTGCTCATTTTTGTCCATTTACATGATTTAGATTTGATTTTTATACATGTACTTTTTACAATGATTTGTATGATGTCACAATTTGGTAATTGTTGTTGGACGTGATTGGTAGATGTGTCAGATATTTGTGTTGCATTATTGATCGGGCTTGTAGAAAGTCGGAGACACAACTGTTTTTAAGGCAGAAGTATTAGAAGGAAAATGGCAGTCGACTAATGGTAGGAGGATTGACAGATTGCATCATGGATGAACAATCAGCACTGTAATTGATTGATTTTGCAGATCCATCATTGTACCCAATTCTGTTAGGCACAGAAACCCCAAGATCCTGGTGTTCATCCTATATATTTCATATTTGTTGTTTTTTCTAGTTTTTTTATATGATTTTTAACTTGCAGTTGGTGCTTGCCCTGCTGAAAAAAGATATTGTACTTGTATTTTATTCAAAACAAGCGACACAAATGTCAAAAGAGTCCTATGTTATTTTTCCTCTGACAGAATCAGTCTGCCTGACATTAAGATTCAAAGCTAGTGCCAGCAGGGTGGAACCACTTTTGTCCAGTTAAATAAGAGTTATGACTGCAGTGTACGACAATGACTCCTTCTTTGACTCGGACGGGGAACATGACAGCCGCAAAGCTGACAGTCCATACTTGAAAGGAGCTTACGACCGTGGCAGCAGCCCCCCCACGGAAGTTGGCACGCAGCGAGGTGCCAAAAACAAATCCCTGACGCCTTCGACCTCCGGCAACTTCTCAGCCAAGTCATCCGACTCTATCATGTCTGAGAAAAGTGGGGCCAAGTCGCACAGGTACGGCCACTCCCCATCGCCACCGCGGTCGCCGTCCCCGTACAGGAGCCCCTACACACAGTCCCCAGCCTACTCAGACTCCTTCAATTCAGAGGACTCAGAGCAGGATTCTCGCAATGCCTCGCCTGAGAGGGCAAGGCAGGTGTCAAGCAAGAAGCCTCAACATACCGGGAGAGCCCGAGGAGGATACAGCAGTACCTCCTCCAACCGATTCAACAGTGGGACAAGCCAAGATAGCCGAGCGACATACAAGAGCTCAAATTATGGCAAGACCATCAACCGAACAAAGAAAGGTCAGTGATGTGTCAAGCCAGTGATATTTATGTCGTCATGATTATTTTCAAGGAATTTCTTAGTGATTTCAGGGTACTCTTCATATAACAAGCCACAAAGATGCAAACAAAATTGGACTCAAATAAAACTCTACTTAAAACTATCTAATATTAAGGTAATTCCAGAAATTTGGGGTACAAAAGTGTGACATTTTTGTGTCCCTGTTACATCTGACCTTTGTTATTTGACGAGGAAATATCACCGGAATTGATTTCAAACTATTACTATTTGTTTGGCCGGTAATTTGCATTAATTCATCACTCTTGGAAATTATGCGTTCTGAACTTACAAAATCATTTGTCAGATGTGACAGGGACACACACAAAAAAATGGATCCCTAATTTCCGGAATTAACCAATGAGCTTGTCAGAACCTTTAAAATTAACAAAGGTTGATATCAATTCATTGAATGAGCACTCTGTACCTCTTTTAATTGTGGGAAAGTAAAGATTTGAAGTATAAAATTAAAATATATTTCCATTAATTTTTTCCAGCAAACTGCTTAGTGATCTAAAATACAAATCACAAAATATGGAGGGTCTGACGTTTCGATCCTAGCAGAATCTTTCTCAAAGGCAAAATGACAAGTGGACAGGACAAGCAAGCCAACAGGGAATCAACCATGAAAGGCTTTACCCCTTGCCCCCTTTGTCCAGCCTGCAGCTTTCTTGACCTTTCCTTTTGTCCTGCATCCGTCCATGCTTGGTTGATTTCCTGTTGCTTGTTTGTCTTGTCTACTTGTCATTTTGCCTTTGAGAAAGATTCTGCTAGGATCAAAACGTCAGGCCCTCCATATTTTGTCATTAATTTTGTTGTTTCAAATGTTCCTAATATCCCAATTTACAATAGGCTGCTTTTACAGCCAGTCCAATTTAAATTTTTTATCATGGTGCAAAATATAACTGGATATTTGAAAAGGCTTCAACCAACTTAAATCCAAAAAAATTTTTAAAAACCCACTGATTTGTGTGACAGATATATTTCATGTGAACATCAATTATCATTGATTTAAAATTGAAATCAGACTCAGTATTAAAAAGAACTGCATTTTTTATTCCGAAAAAATTGTTCATTTTAAGGACAGAAAAGAAACATTAACCCACGTGCAACTTGGCAGAAGAGGGTTTGACAAGAAATCACCTCTGACTATTTTTTCTAATGAGCCATAAGAGTGTGGTAATTTGCATACAGTGTACATGTAAGGCATTTTGATAAGACATGCCACGGCGGTTTCTACATGTACTGTAAGTGGCCAATGGACTTTCCATTGGTTGCAGGTAATCGGAGTGTGGAATATCCAATTTCCATTCTTCACGTCAGTACATGCATCTGTTTCAAAAATTTGAGTCTTGGAAGGAAAGCCGTGAAGGGCGTAAAATTTAAAATCATAATCTCCAAGAAATATTCCTGAGTTAATGCTTAAAGCCATCTCCCTCTGTTGCCTTAGCAACAACCATCATGCTTCAATTTGTACTCCTCTGCCTGTACATCTGTGCGTGCATGCAGACTGATTTTGTGCATGTGTTTTTGTCCTTCCTTAGCCTTGTCATGGTTGTCAAGACAACAAAGATGGATGAAAGTATTAAGAGATAGCCTTTCAAATCTCAGCAGGGATAGCCGATAATATTAAATTATGTTGAAAGAAGCAGGATGACGTAGGTTCACCAAAAAGGGAGTTATTTTTAGATCAGTAATAATTGATTTGCTTTCTCCAATTTTGATGTTGAGGCTGAGACAAAATTCATTGACCTTATGGTGGGCTTATTATCACAAAGTATTAATTTACATAGGTCAATGACAAAAGGATGATGTGGCAACTGTATTGAAGGTACAGCTTCAGGGATGATTATTGACAAATCTGTTACGTGAGACAAGTCATTGAAAATATTTGCATCATTGAAATTATGAGAAGAAAATGTTGTTGTCTTTATAAACATTTTTTTTATTTCGTCAGCATTCACCATTGCAAATAGGCATGGAATTCATTCAATATTTTCTGACAGTTCTTCATCCTGAGAGCTGAGTGACATTGTTTTGGTCATGATTTACACAGTGTTTGAAATTTATTACCACACAGTGCACTGCTCTGTAAGTCACAGACAAGCAGTTGCAGTTAAATAACTTCTTTGAAGGGCTCACAGTTGGGGGAAAAAAAGTGAGTCCACTTGTCAATAAGATTAACAAAAACAGGTGCCAAATGCACACATGTGGTTTTCCCACATTTGAGATAGGGGAGAAGTTGCACAAGTTATGTCTCCAAATTCATGTCATTGGTGCTTTCGTAGCAAAAGCCAGATGTTGTAATCAGCCAATGAGGCAAGGCAATTCTCAAAAACATCAACATCGTACCAGTTTGAACATGTTTGATGTCTGTGAGTATTAGTCTGTTCATTTGGTGCATTGAAGGCCAAGTTGGAATTTGCTGAATTTGCAAATAATGTCTGCAGAGCTCCCAACATGTACAATTTTGGCATAGTTTTTACGGTTTTCAACCAATTTTATGCTTGCACAATTTTGTTCTTCGTTGGTGCGATATTTGACAACACCGTCTTGAAAAATTTTAAATTTAAAAAGACGCTTCATTCCCGTGTTTCTTTAGACAAAAGTGGTCTGAAAACCGTGGAAGGACTGATAACAAGTCTTTTTAGACTGTGCGCACAGTGTGGTACCAGTCACATGTTCTAGATGCAGATCGTTACTTGCAAATTTCAGCTGCATGTACGTACATACGTACAGTAGTGTAAGCTGTACACATACAGCATGTGATGGTTGTGGACAAAAGGAACATAACGTCTGGTATCGAGACCACTACTCCAGTGAAGCAGCAAAATTCTCACCAATCGTGCATGTACAGCGGTATGCGTGGTGTGACGTGCAGCATCGTGGTATTACGTACAGTGGCGTCATGCTTGAAATATGTCGACCAAATGTAGGAAAGAAGCCGAAGCCTCGGCAGAAATTTCTTCCGAAACACAGTAACGAGTGGCTGCTATAACTTTCATGGCTGCAGAACCAATGTTTATTGTACACCCTTATTAGCCCATATACGCCATGTAGGTTACTATTTATACAAGTCTACTATGAAAAGGGCTTGCCCTGATCAGTTGACCGTAAATGCCGATATTCTGTGCACTACTGAAATAAAAAGTACTATATTTGAAATCTGAATGTTGGGAGCCCCGTGTCTGAGCTCCCATCATGGAAGAGTGAAGGAACTAAACCAGTCTCATTCGTTGTTGTAGTAGTTTTTATAGATTTTTTTTTTACCTTCAGCTTTTCAGAAAACACCACTCAAGAAGTCAGTGGCCGCCGCTAACACCAAACGTTCCAACAGCATTGCCAGCAGCCAGGCCTCGCCACGCAACACCAACGAGGTGACCCGCCGCATGCTGTCGGCCAAGGGCCACACCATCAGCCGGCTGCGCAATGAGTTTAACCAGCTGCAGAAGGAGCACGATGAGACGGTGCGAGAGAACAAGTTGCTGAAGGAGCTGCAGCGACGGCAGGAGCGGGCCTTGGCCAAGTTTGACAGCGAGGAGAGCGAACTGCCGCAGCTGCTCAAGAAGCACAGTGCCGAGCTGGACAGCATGCGTCGACGGATACGGAAGTATCAGGTCAGGAGTTGACCTATCACAATAGAATCATGTCCTTGCAGCTTGTAGAATATCGTACGGTATGAAATAGACGGGTTGCTTTTACAGACTGTAGAAATCTCAGTTGCCAAGAAATTATCCATTGAATTTGAAAGTGTATTTTTTAAGATCCTACAACTTCACCTTAACCCTACCAATGTAAGATCTTTAACTTCTCTAAGAATCAATCAAAAATAGTGCGGCCTGACTATTTGAACTTTGCAAGTTCTTCTTCAGACGCCGAAAGACAAGAATCCTTAGCTTTCAACATCGGTAAAAAAGCCTCCATGTAGTTTTGTTCATTGGTGTCCCCCTCCCCGCAGGAGCGCGACAGAGACAGAGAGCGCCGCCTGAAGGACAAAGACGAACAGTACCTCCGCGCTGAAGATGAGCTGAAGCATATCCGGGCCCTTGCCGAAGACAAGGGCCTCCTGGAGCGGCATGAGCTGCAGAGGAAGCTGGACCGGCTCCGGGGCAAGCTGGAGGCTCGTGACAAGAAGCTGGGCGAGATGGAGCGCTACGTTGAGCACCTCAAGAAGAACCAGCGTCATGAGCTGCACGAGAGACAGGGCCGGGAGGAGGAACTGAAGGGGCAGGTGGCAAGCCTGGAGATGGAGAACGAACGACTGCAGAACCAACTCAGGGTGAGGCTATGGGAATTGCAGAAAAAAAGTAAAAACGAAAAAAAGGAAAAGAAGTACAAAGGGATGAGTGGGGATGAAACATTTCCAATTTGCTTGGGAAAAAGCAGGATGTAGGGTACAGTCAAAATTTGGAATTGACTTTGTTTTACAACTCCTGCATGAAGTTGCCTTAATTAAACATTTTATCCAAATCCACAATGATTGCATTCATCATAGGAAAAGGAGAAAGAGCTGGAAGTACGTAATATTTACAGCAACCGCCTAATCAAGCCACCAGGCAAACTCCGACATAACCTCTCCCCTACTGGCCTCAAGCCAGTCATGCTGAGCAAGGCCACCTCAACAGACGACCAGTCCAAGCACCCACGCCCACCCCCGACTGAGAGGCAGCAACGGGAGTGGTCAGCTGAGGAAGTCAGGAGGCGAGAGGAACTGACCACCAGGGTCAAGTCCCCGAAGGATGCCACGCCGAAGACAGAGCACAAGGTGGAACCCGAGAAGCCAAAACAGAAAGAACCAAAATCTGAGGAACCTAGCGAGGAACCAAACAAGGAACTCTCAGAGCACGAGAAGATCCTGCGTGATCTGGACATGGGATGGGGGAGGCGGGACGGTGGTGAAGAAAGGCAGAGGCAGGAGGAGGGAAGACGGAGACAATTGGAGGAGGAAGAACGTCGGAAGAAAGAAGAGGTACGGCAGAAAGAGCTGGAGGAGAGACTCCGACGGGAGGAAGATGAAAGACGGAGGAGACGGGCGGAAGAAGAAGCAGCGGCAAGGAAGAAACTGGAAGAGGAAGAAAAGGTAATGTAGCTTAACTTGGGAGAAATGTTAATGATCAAAGCAACCCAAATGTACCAATTGTCAACTTACCCGTGGAAGGATATCCTTACGTCCTTTGAGTGGAGACGTCTATGCCATCGTCAGCATTTTGGGTAGTTTATATTCTTGGTTTACCCCTACCCCAAAAAATTCTTGTTCATTTGACAAAAAAAGCCTGCTCATTTAAGTGAGCCTTCCGAGATCGTCAGAGCTGGTCAAACATTCCAGTCAGCATTCCAGGTTGCATGACACAACAGAGTAATTAATTTCAACACAACCATGTTATTCTTTATCTAATTTTTAAGGATCACTGAGCCAAGATTTCGTTCATTTTTCCTCCTTTTTAAAGTAAATTCTTTGTCCTTGTTGCTTACAAACTTTCTGGAATTCTTGTTAATTCAAGTCTCATCCCTCCTTTCATCAACAGCCTTCCGTGTACAAAAGACCCAGTTTCTTTGGTTCCAAGCAAGATGCCTCTAGCTCCCAGTACAAACCCAGTTTCCTGGACTCAAGTCCATCCACAAACTCTAAACTCTCATTCAAACGAGACGACGACTCATCCAGTTACAAACCCAGTTTTTTTAATACTTTGACAAAACCTGAGCATCCACAATCAAATCAGAACGTAACCAGTGCAACTCAAAACCCTCAAGAAATGACACCAAGTTCTGTCAGTGCAAATCCAAAAGCAAAGTCCCATATTCTTGACGACGACGATGACTTCTTTGAGACCCAGCCCCCATCAACAAACCTTCCAGCGTGGTTAAGGGACAGTTCCAACACCACAGAAGTGGTAAACAACATATCAGCTTCTGTTTGACTGTTGGCGTGAGAATTTGCAGTGACAGAAAAATCTTTCGTTAGAGTTTCAAATCATCAGTCCCCCTACCATGTTTTCGTCAAGTTTGGACATTTTTAACATCTTTTTTGCTTGTTAACTAACATTCCTCAGATTCTTCTGTGTTGATGCCAAGGCAACGATTCCCTCATAAAAGCTGCTTGCCTAACACTGCATTTTATTTACGAGGTCGCTGAAGCTCACAAGTCTTGAAAGTTCCATCTTCAGCATTTGACGGAAATTACCGATCACCCTTTTTGCAGTGTTTTGCACACATTTGCAGCAACAAAGAAACTGTGCTTTAAAGTTGTTTGTTGTTTTTGTTTGTGTTTTCCACAGGAGAGGGAAAAGAAGAAGAAAGAAGGTAGGCTTTTTGTTCATGAAAAAGTCGTTTCACAGTCGTTTTAGCCTTTAGGATTACGACCAGGTTTTTAAGTCAGAAAACCATTAATGAATATCTATGGAGGAAGATATTAACAGTGTAAAGTATATGTAATGAGAAAGACTTGCTTTAATTTTTGTTTCATAAAAGTGAGCAAAGGGACTTTTTCCTTGTTTGTTGGGTTGGGTCGGGTCAGATTGGGTTGGGTTAGTCTGCTTACCTGTGTCTCTTTCCAAGTTTACACTGTATTTTTGATAGCCTTTGCACTGCTTGTAGAGTGTTTCTTATGTCGTTATTGCGCTAAGCAAAACTGTAAGTTCTCGGTAACTGCTTACAAAATGAAGCTACCACAACATACTTTACACACACTTAACTTTCATCACAACACACTTTGTAGTGATCATTCATCTTGTGGGAGTCATTGCCAAAATTCACTTTAACAAGCGCAGCGCTTGGGGTTTTTGTTTCTACTCAAGATTGCTAATGCTTGGCTGCATTCTTGTTTCACTGTGAAACATTCTTATCTGCCCACTCGCCCATCTCATCCCATTCCCTCACCACTCAGTCCTTGAAGAAGCCAGTTACTCCCCCGATTTTGACAACTCGCCCAACGACAACGACAGTGAGGAGAACATCCCCTTCTTTGGGTCCAAACCAACCGGAGTGCAGAAACCGCCTGTGGCCAAGACCCCACCATATGCCGTTAACAGTGTACGGGATTTGCATCGGTATTCCCGCGGTGACAACAACAGCAACATCCCCAAACAGGGCATAGACGAAGGGGGCCAGATTGACCTGAACCAAGCTAACACAGCTGGTATGACACTGATTTTTCTGTTCCCTCTTTTTTTCCACTCATTACACTCACCACAGTTTCATTGCTTTCCTGCTTGAGTTCTTCTTTAACTATGTACATTAACAAAGTATGCATGGCTAATTCCCTCTTGCAGTAGGAAGGGTGCTGAAAATGACCAAAAAACCCGTACTATTTGTTGGCCTGGCAAGGCCACCAACAAAGATCTTTAGATGGAAGGCATGTTAACTAACTCTTTACTAACTGGTCTTCTGTGATTTTTAGATAAGAGGGTTGATTCCAAAGGATCTGTTGGTGTTAGGTTCTCGGTTAGAAACAAAGAACACAGAGAAATTAGTCCCTCTGGTTGGATTTGAACCCTGGTCAAGCTATTTTAAAGACTTCATTTCAAAGACTATGTCCTTCAGCGGTAGATGTGTTCATGTTTTGAAATGTGCAGATCAGGAGAAGGAGGCTGAACGTGTAGCTGAGGAGCGTCGCAAGAAGGACCTGCTCCTGGCCAAGATGCGAGAGATTGATGATGGCAGGAAGCCTGACTCCGGCCGAAGCCACAAGAGCTACAACTTCACCAAGCCAGTGGAGAATCTCCACAATGGAGTCCCCTCCCACCCGGAGGAGACTGGGCCGGCAAAGGGAAAGAAGGATGATGCCCTGTTGTTTGGAAGCTACGCGCCGACCTTCACGAGCGGCAAAGTGGCACAGAAACCCAAGAAGAAGTCATTCTTTGACGATGATGACGATAGTGACAGTGATCTGTTCTCCAAACGGAAACCGGCCACCTCACCGCAGGGCGATAAAAAATCCAACCTCATGGCTGATCTCTTTGGCAACAGCGCCAGCGAGGAGAAGGTGACCAAGTCCTCATTTGGCGAGGACAAGAACGTCTTCACGTCCTCCACCAAAGCCAAGCCCCTCTCCTACCCTTGGGAGAAAAAGGTGGATGTTGTAGGGGGGACAAACGCAGCAAGCCCAGGAGCTGCAAACAGCTCTAAAGACAAGGGTCCCTCAGCCTCTAAAGCCGTCATGAACATGTCACACGACAGCCTCGATGATATTGACGACATAGAGGAAGTGGTTCTCTGAAAGTCTCATGTTTGTGTATTCTTTCAAGTTTTTGGATGTACAAACCTTGTACAAATGCTGTTATTTATGAATATATTTTATTCAAATATATCTGTAAACATGTAAAAATAAAAAATATATAAAGGTTAAAAAGCATTTCATCATGAACAGAACAAATTTCTCTGTAGCATACATTTTTTATTCGCAATCATGTTTTGCAGTTGCTTCATCCTTTAACATTTCTGAAGAAGTACATAATTATGTATAATGCCTCATGCAGGTAATTCCAATTTGAGTCAACTGATTGTTCAAGAGCTTACAGTGTAGGTGTCCGGAAATAGCTGATATCCTCATTGCAGATGTACAGACTGGCAAAGTGTACATTTTTGGATGCATTTTTTAAAAGGGGTCAATTGCCTCTTTATTACTGGCCATTTTTAGCAAACCGTTCACGCTGCAGGTTTCCTGCCATGCTTTGAATCTTCTGAAATGGCCTTTGTTGACGAGCTCTAGTAACACCAGCAGAGCCAAACTTGTCTTTTTTGTTTTCCATGTGGATTCCAACTGACCCTTGTTTGTCATTTTGTTCATTTGTAATCTTATATGTTTGAATATTCCATTCTAGAGCACATCAAAGAACAAAGCACTTCTGAAGTATGAAGTCCTAGCTCACCCAGAATAATGTATCAACATTCAGGGAACTGAACTACGAAGGGTTTGGAATGATCTTCCTTCAATGTTTGGTGAAAATGTGGCAAATTTGACCCATTTTTGAACTTTTTGATGGGCAGTGCTGCATTGTTCTTCCTTTATTGTGAGATTTTCGTTTAATTTCGAGCTCTCTTTTCATTTTTTGACCCAGAACTACTGGAATAGTACCCCTTCCCAAATGTGCATTGTGCTTGAACTTTGGTTTGTTAACTATATACGTTGTGCCATTTGGTGTTTCCTAGATTTGTCTCCATCCAGGATGTTGGTGTTTTGTTTCGCACTTTGAAAGCACCTGATGAGGTACATGCATGCTTGGCTTCAGCCATGCACATTTTATGCATGTTATATGAAAAAAAGTGTTACCTTTCATAGTACTCCAAAGATGGATTTTCAAAGAATTTCTTTGCAAGCTGTTTCCCTAGATGGTGTTTAGCAGAATGCATACCGTGCACGATATGGGGCCGATGGGTAACCCCCCCCCATGTCCAATCCCTATACACACTCTAGACAATTGTTGCCTAACACATCTTCCCTAGAAGTCTGTAAAGAATTCCTGAGATTCCGTTCAAACCATGACCAACACAAAGGCGGGGGGGGGGGTTTCTCTCCACCCCATATCTTGCTTCATATGGCAGAATGAGAAGAATTATTCATTGGAATTATAATACATGTAGTTCTGTGTAGTGTTGCCATGGCAACGAATGGGCTTCTTTTTAGAATTTCGCTGTTGCACATGTGTGCTGTCCAGTTGTGTTTTGAAATCGATGCCCACCAGCGAAGGTAGAGCTTTACTCAAAACTATTAGCGGACTTCGGAACGGAACTGTGAATCATTCAAGAAGCGGACTTCCCATTCAGACAAAGCCCACTGTGTTTGTACAAATACTCAGCCCAAACACAAGTGTCATTTATGTATTTGTGTGCTTATTCAATTGTGCTCCATTGTCAAGTTTCAGCTTGAAACTCCTTTGTGTTTAGTACTCTTTGGATAAATGCAAAGTTTCAAAGGGTATANGACTTGCCTTTCTTTCACTGCAGGTTACTGACTCAATCTCATCGGCAGTTGACAGTGTAGAACGTAAAGATTCAGCAATCATGCCTTTCCTGAGACATTCCTTTGGTTGTCAAAGTACTAACACATGCAAATTGTACAGTCAAGATAGACTTGGTTTGTAGTCGAACTGAGGTGGATTCAAACCGAGGTACCCACGATTGGGGAGGCAAGTGCCCTGGCATTGTGAAAGTGTTGGACAAGCAGCAAGTGTTTGTCTGTTTTGGACTTCTAGAATTGTCAGTTGAACAAGTGCTTCACAGGTTTAAAGTGGGTAACTGATTTACATAGTTTATTCATTTGAACCAGGAGGCATCTTTGATGGATTCAGCTAGATGATGAAATATCACTGCTTAATGTCAGTAAATATCAATCATCTGTGGGCTAATACCTTCTGTGTGTCAGATAAGCAGCATGGAAACTGATCAATACTCCTAACAGAACTGTTTGAAATAAAGGTCAACAATATAACACACATGCAGGAGTGCATTTTTCTGTGTTTCCTCTGAAAACTGAAAATGAATTGTTTTATTGAGGTCCATTTGAAAGTCTTGACATGTAAAAGTCTCCAGCCCCCAACCCACCCTGGTGAATACAGCCTTACCACTTATCATGTCAGTTTAAGCACTGATAATTGACATCGCAGATTTTCATTCAGTTGGTTGTCCTTGCAAACGTCCTGATATTTTGCTTCTTTTCAAACCAAAAAAAAATATGCCCAAACAGAAACAAACAAAGCAGACCCATGGGGAAATCGAATTCACGCCGACTGAATTGTATTTCGTATTCTTCTGTGGTTCATGAAGGATAACTGAGATTGTCAGAGCATACTCGTTCTTATCATCCATTGTAAGAGGAAGGGGTCGGATGGTTCGCGACCGGGGTGCAGATCACACAGGAAACAAGTGTAGCCATGATACAAATGAACTTAATGACATGCCATTCAGTGTGGTCAATGGAAATTTTAACTCTATGTCAAATTCCTGTGGATTTCAAATAGGTTCTATATCGGGAGGCTGATGTGGAATATTTACCAGTCACCGGTACCGCCCGGTACCATGATCTGCATGCTTGGCGGCGCTGTAGGATCTGTTTGATCGTACTCGCTACTAGTTACAATGTGTAGGCTATCCGAATCCCTGTCGGTATGGCTACAGTATTAAATTATGCACCTGAAAAGCGCGGTACCAAAAACGTCACGGTGGCGAATTTGTGCAAGGATGGGGAATGTTAACACTGAGTTCCTCATGCGTGATCATGCGGGTTCAAAATTTGGGAAATTGACATATTCTTTATTTTTCAGTTTCCTCATTTTTTATTTATTTCTGTTCATCCAGCAGTGCATTTAGCGCTAATTATATAGGATTGATGAAAACAATGAAGAAATGTTCAGTTTTAGGAAGTAAGCCAAAAGAACTGAAAGTTCCAGCTCCAAGAAACGAAACTTTTCACTAATGTGGCTGTAGGTTTGCGTCGCCGTACGGGCGCCGAAAGCCAGGCCCACCGAAGACCATACTGAACTTGCTCGTATCAACTATGTCATTTTGGACCATGAATTCGATTGGTAACGATCGTCTTTGTAATGTATTTGTAAACACATTTCCAGAGAAAAAAAACATTCACTAGGGGTCTGCGTACCTGGCGCTAACCGTCACCTGCCCACCGTCACACCCAAGTAGTGCAACCCTGTACAAGTCACTGCCCAGACCCAACGTTTCCCATTATTTTCTGGGGTATAAAACGGAGTACATGTACATTAACTAGACCTGAGTCAGTTCAACATTTCATTACCTGTTAGAGTGCACAGAGACGCCAACAGGTGGGTAAGACGTATTCGTCATCAGTAAGTGGACCGAGAAAAAAACTGTCCTGCAGTGTGGGAACTGAGAATTCCGGAAATTAAAAGTTAATTGTCATTGAAGCCGTTGGAAAATACGAGAGATAAAGTAAACATATTTCTGACAAAATGTACACTGATTTTCAGTTTGAATTTTTCATTTATGTTCAAAAGTGGAAGGGGCCGTGACATGTTTCGTTTAATTTTAATCGGCATAGCTCTCCCGCCATTGTTTTTATCTAACAAACAAAAATGTGACGGAAGGATATTGGTTAAATTAAACCACAAAACTAATGACGTATTCATTCCGACAACTGTGTTCTGAAAGTGAATTGGTACATATTATTTTGAGAACTCACAGACTTTTATTGCTACATGTTCCTTTTGTTTTGTTTTGTTGACAGAATCCAACTTATGATGCATTTCTTTGAAGTGTTTGCCGTCATTGTGGCAGTGGTTGGTACCACTTACGCCTGCAGTGTACCTATTGGCTGGAAATCACAGTCGATCGAAGAGAGAGCTAGGGAACCCAAGTGGGTGGTGTACGGCACAGTAGCAAGTAATCACATGCCCGTGTCAGGTTTCAGTAATATAACAGATCAGCATTACTGGGTCGTGGTCCAACCTCTGTGCTGGCTGAGGGGTGGGCTGGAAAAGTCCTTGCAAAGTAACACCACGGTGTTTCAGAATATCACCGTTGAGGAGGTAGCACTCTGCACTTTCAGTAACCTCACCAGGGGGAAAAGGTACATCCTTTTTCTCAGCAAAAATGTTGGAACCAATTTCACCGTCAGTGATGTGAATGTACAGTCTGGCGCCCTTGAGGACCCTTCGAAGGAGACCTTCGAGGCTGTCCATCGCGGCATCGATACAGGACTCAAGAAAGGCTACCCTGATGGAAAGTGCTTGGATGGGGTAGATGTGCCATGCTTCACTGGGGTTCCTGACCCAAAAGTCTGTAACCGGAGTGTGTCCATCGGCGTTGGCCTTTGGTGCTTAATCTTAGCGGTGATGTGGGCTATATCTGTTTATTGATTTGGTTACTGCAGAATTTTGTAGAAATCGTTTTGATGTTTGATAAGGGCTTATAGGCTATGTCAAAGTTTGATGTCTGTATTAAACAGATTGAGAAATTCAGAACTGATTCTTAGCGTGAGTTTATCTTGTATATTTGTATTGCTAAAATTTTAAAACTCAGTTCAATTTGAGGATTGTCCTGGCTCGAGTAAACCATAGGATTGCAAAGGTAACATTTAAAAAATGTCGAACCCTTCCCATGTTTGTGTAAATATAGCCTGTTTTTAATTGGTTCAAGATTGTACAGGTGGTCAACGATGGAGGGGGGGGGTGATAGCAGGAAGCTCTCTGGACACGGGGCATACAGGTCCTTTCTGGGTTTCCCCCAAGGTCCGGCAGCCCAGCTAGTTTTATTCTTGCACATAATTGTATGGAAAATGTAAGATAAACAGGGCTTCATCAACGTACGTCACTATATAGGCAGAGAAACGGTACCCCGAGTTAGAGGAATAACCAAAAATGAAAATTAAGCTTCAAACTTTCAAAAATTAAAAAACTCTTTTATGAGTTGTTACTCTTTTGTATGAATGCAAAGTTTAAAAGGTTAAAACATCAATGGTATTGTTAACTTTGCCTTTGTGTCATAGTTTATTGGATCAACTTTATATGTACTTACAGTGTAGAATGTTGAGATTAAGCAAAATACAACCTTTCCTGAAACACATTTTTTCAATGTACTCAAAGACTTGGTTCGTAGCTGAACTTTTGGATTTGAACTGAGGTCACCACAGTTGGGGAGGAAAGTGCAATTTTCATTCTTTGATGTATTCAGCTCAAAATTCCAGCATCCTTACGAAATGAAATATCAGTACTACACAGCATTTTACATTCATATCAAACATGTGTGCCGGGAATACTATCTTGTGTCAGATAAGTACCATGGAAAGTTAACAGTGTACAAGAACCTTTTAAGTACTTCAAACAGTAGTGCTTTTAAATAAAAGTAAATACATGTATAGATGCATACACAAGACTTTAAATTTTTGGTGTGTATTGTCTCAGGCAAAAACGTAGTTTCATTAATAACATGTTGTACTAATCTTGACCTTTAACCAGTCCTCCGCCCTCTTCCATACAGCCTTGACACTTATCACATCAGTTTTTATTTAGCTTCACCTTGTAATTTGGCAGGTATGTCCATGGAGGTAGCCTACCACCGCGGTATGTCCACGGGATGATCGCTGGTGGTGGCCGCGGAAGGAGACTATTTTCTCATGTGCGTGCATGGAGGGGTTACGTCTGTGTGTGTTCCTTCCTCCATGGTCTGTCAAAATTGTCCTTTCATAAGCTTGTCACAAATTGCAGACTCAAAGATGTAGGCCCTATAATTTAAATAACGGGTTCAAAATTCGGGAAAATGGCATATGTGCAAGCTCCGTGGTACATGAAATGAAATGAAAGAGCCGCAGCCAGAGCAAAGAACAGAGAAACATAACATTTAACTAGTGCGGCCACAGCCTAGCCAAGGCCAGCAGGTCGGGCTCGCTATTGTGTGACCGTCGACCATGGACTCCGAAGTTCCGAGCATCTGTGTTATGTTTTCGTAAACACATTTCCATTGAATACGCGCTTAACCGTCAACTGAGTCACACCTTGGCAAGTCAGCACTCATCCGTGTTCGGAATTGGCTGGCACCGTGTAAATTCATGGAGGTAGAAACTCCATGGTCGATTCAAGTTATGCTCTGACGTGCCTATGAATACTGAGCTTGGCGGCCTGTCAGATTTTGTTTCGTGAACTGTCTCATTAGACCTGTTGTAGATCACCTGTTCACGTGCACTGAGAACACCAGACGGGTAAGACGAACAAAAAAATCCAGTCCCCTGAAAATTTCAGCACTTTGCTTGTTGTCATTGAAGTCAGGAGAGAGTCATTAACTCACGAAGTGAATGATGTTTAACAACTTTTAAGTTAACCAGAGCGTGTTAAACCATGCAGGAATAAAATTAAATTAGACCGTCTTTATTCATGTGTAGGTCAAAACTCGAGCAACAGTTCCATCAAAACATGGAGGTAGAATCACATGATCAAAACAATGAGACAAGTCTCTCCTTACGTCAATGTAAAATTAAGTATCCAAGATTTAAAACTCAAGACTAGAACAAGCTAAACTAGAGACTAAAAACTGGAGACCCCAACACTGGAACTGCTTTGGAGATACAACCCCAAATTTGAGGGAGTCGTAGTGTGGCCTTAATCAGGCAACCACCGAGTGTTGGTCATTCCACCAGTACTGCGCCGGTTTTCCAGTCACTATTGGCGACGTGTACTCGGGCCACACCCCAGTTGAGACCACATAGCATCCCAAATAAAACAGGTTGATGCAGTGAGCAGAGACAACAGAAGGAATCACACTGCCCACTCCTTTCTAGGGCACCTTATACCCAATTCATGCTTGAGTGTACACAGTACAATTTTAAGGAATGCACTGTATAGCAGAATAGGAACAGTTGCTGTAGGTCTGTGACAGTGAACAACTATGTGATACAATGATAGTACACCATAGACTTGCTACAGGCAACTGGTAACAAACTGTTTCTGATTTTTGTGTAAAGCTTTGGCACAGCGGATATACCGTTGTTTAAATTTAACATGTGAAAATGTTATGGAAGAATGTTAAACCAGGAGTACAAAACCATTGCGTGTATCTTTTTGTTGACAGAATCCAACTATGATGCATTTCTTTGAAGTCCTCTGCATCTTTCTGGCAGTGGTTAGTATCACTTATGCCTGCAGTGTAAGTGACGACTGGAAATCAGAGTCGATCGAAAACAGAGCTAGGAAACCCAAGTGGGTGGTGTACGGCACAGTAGCAAGCGATCACATGCCCATGCCCGGCTCTAATTTGCAAATAGACCAGCACTATTGGGTTGTGGTTAAACCTCTGTGCTGGCTGAGGGGTAACCCACAACCAGAAGACTCCATGCAAAGTAACACCACGGTGTTTGAGAACATCACTGTCTCTGAAGACGCTCCCTGTGTTTCCAGTGACCTCGTCAAGGGGAAGAGGTACATTCTTTTTCTCGGCAAAGGTTTTGGAACCAATTTCTCCGTCTATGATGTGAATGTGCAGCCTGGCGCTCTCGAGGACCCCTCTGAGGAGACCTTCGAGGCTGTCCATCGCGGCATCGATGCAGGACTCAAGGAGGGCTACCCTGATGGAAAGTGCTTGGATGGGGTAGATGTGCCATGCTTCACTGGGGTTCCTGACCCAGAAGTCTGTAACCAGGGCATGTCCATCGGCATCGGCCTTTGGTGCTTAATCTTGGCGGTGATGTGGGCCATATCTGTTTATTAACCATGTTGACACAGAATTCTAGCTTGTCTGTTGTAGAAATTTTAATTGTGTTAAATGACTTGATGATTGGCTAATTGTAGGTGATTTCACAATACTACTACTTTTCATCATTTTTTTGTTTATATTTGTATATGTAGCTTGAGTAGAAGCTTTAAATGGAAATTTTAGATTAATATTATCTCCGGATTTGATCTGTAATATTTTGGGAATTGATGCAATTAAACAATCCAGTACGATTTGTCTGATAAGATAGCACATTGGGAGAGTTTTTAACCTACTCCATGACCAGGATTATCCTGAGTTTGTCTGGTGTTATGTGTATCAGGCGAAGTTTTTAAACTGTGTCAACTAATTTTTAGGGTTGTTCTAACTCAGCTACCAACCAATTACTGCGATTCTAACTGCTCAAAAATTGTAAACCCTTTCTTGCCACTTTGTGTAATTCCATCACCTATAACCAGATTTTTATGAGTTCAAGGCTGAATAGGTGGTTTTGGAACCATTCCCTTAAATTTGACTTGCTGTAGCAATTTCATTCCAACAAGTGTGCCTAGAATGGCATTACAGAGTGCTCAATCCTGGTTAATTTAAAACGAAAATCTCTTGCACAGTGATGTTGGGGTTAATGGCATTAAATTGTTCAAGATTTTAGCCCTGTATATATTTTTCAACAAAAAGTTTACAATATTACAGAGTGAGTGACTTGATTTAATTTTAATATTAATGTTAATATCATTTATAGAGTAATGTGTTTATTTAACCATAATACATTCTCAGAAGAAATAGTCATGACTATAAACAGAAATATTAATTGGAGCAGATAGATATTGACACTCAAGTGTAAAGTTGTGAAAAGTACTGTCATTGTAAGATTTGTATTTTCAGTAACATACAGAAAATTACCTCCTTATGTAAGAATTTAACACTCAAGAATTTGAAGGAGGAGTAAATAATGTTTAACACAAATGAGACTGTTTTGGTCTTGTTGCAATGTTTGAATTAGAAATTTCATTTTAGAAATAAACAAAAAGAAGTGAAAATGGAAAAATTGGAACATTTTTCAACTTGTGATTAGCTCAGACTTTGAAATTTTGCCTGTATGAAAATAGAAATTGAAGATTTTCAAGATTGCAGGTACTTGTACCAAACATTGACAGCATGTTCTGTTTACTGATTTTTGGTGGAGTTCCATCGACCCCTCCCCCCTCGCCTCCAGCATGACCTGAGCCCGCCAATATTTCAATACTCCACCCCGGAACTGAGCAAGCCAACGTGGCCTTTCATTTTCTGACTCACAAGAGGGCGCTTCAAATCGAAAAACACGCAGGCCCGGCCTTGTACAATGTACCTGTACATAGTAGATAGTGTACAGTGTAATTACACGTAGTTTTCCGAAAATGGCGACCTTGGGAAGAAGGCTGTTCAGTATCTGCCGAAAAACATGGAAAAAAGGTGCAAGCCTTCGACGTCTGCCTCAGCAAAATGCAGTGCAATTATTGTGCAGAAATGCCTCAGCTTGGACATTTGTTCCAGATTTGCCCCCCGAAGCTCTTGGTAAGACGCGGTTTTGGGGTACATGTCAACCATGGTTTTCCATGGAGAAAGGACCTCCATGGTCAAACCGAGGCTGAAGTTCAAACATCATGAACACATTGTCGTTGGCGTTTTACACACAGGGCATAGCCTATCAATGCATGTACATGTAGAAAACTATTTAGCATGGTCAAATTTATTGTTATTTGTAGCATGGAGGTAGGAAAAGTGTTTGTAATAGACGACAGATGAAGACATTGAAGAAGCATACCAGTTTGCATTTTTTACAGACCTACATGCTGTAATGATGTTGGCCAGCAATAGGGAGGCTAATAAAATTTGTAATTATTTTTTTCTGTTTTATTGTGAATGTTATCTTGAAGAGGATGTCTTAAGAAATATTTTGATATAAATTTGGACTCTGCAAAGCAACGAAAAATCGATTTGAAGTGGGGATGTTTTGAGATGTTTTATGTACACGTGTAATGCAGAGCAAACTGATTATTTTGTACACAAAAATGAGTCTCGAATTTAACTGAAATTGAGCTCAAAATTTATGTTTTTGTAAAATCTTTGTAAAATCTTATTTGTGCCTTATTTCAATGAATCAAATAATGACTTTACTTCAAATTTCAAACATTTTGCAATTGGAAATCAAATAGAAGAACTTCAGCATGCCAAAAAAAGAATTTCAATCACAATTTCCTATTTAAGAAAATGAGTTTCCAAATAAACAGCGCCCTCGCTCATTTATTCATGTCCCTATCCTAGTCTGAGTAACATGAATAACTTGGCCTGTTTTGGGATTGGATTCTACAAATTTTTAAACATTTGTACGTGGTGGGCGATTAGTAGAGTCCAATTACCTTCCATAGGATTTCCATCCAATTAATTTTGCTCAGACTATCCATAGCCTAACTTATAACAGGGCAGTAGGGGTAGGCCCATGACTTCGATTTTGTCCTGACTGATCATCACATTCATTTGACAATCTTTTTGGCCTCAGGGGAAACAACCAAGATGAACTTGTTTCAGTCGTTAACTGATGCCATGGATATTGCCCTGAGCACTGATGAAACAGCAGGTTAGTGTTAAGACTGAAATCCAAATTTCCAAATAATTCCCCTCCAACACACACACGCACATGCAAAGTACAAAATTTCAAAACCAAAATATAGTTCTAGGCCTGTTTGAAACTGGGAGAAAAAAGTCCAGACTGGCTTTCGTTAGTGGAAGAAGCTAACACCTCAACAAAAAAATTTCCAGAGCTCCGTTGCACCTTCTGAAAAAGATCATTGGCGAGCTGAAATGCGTGTCGATAGTTTGTCCTTTGTAAACTTGCTTTCATTGATTGTAACTACAGTGGGCCAAATGTCTATGTCGTTGCCATGTATTTGTCGTCAATGACAGGCCAAACCCATTTACATGTATCTGTTACTGAATGTCAGAAACACAGTAGTGTCTGCAACCACAGTTGCCAACATGGAGAGTAGATATTTAAGTAGTCATCATATTTTCCAGAGCTGAGATTTTTCCAAATTTTTCCTGATCTCCAGGATTCGTCACCTGGATTTTTCAAACAGTCTCTTTTAAAATTGGGAAAAATCTAAGTTTACCATTTCTGTGTTTTTGCGTAAAACAGTTGATATAGACCACAAGAAATGAGTATTTTAAGGAGTGCCTATTTTATTCGTAGCTTTCACCCTTCTGAGGGGCCCTCTGGTGATCATTTCGTAGATTTCTCAATTTCCTCCAATCTTTATTTTGTAGTCATCTTTGGAGAGGATGTTGCTTTTGGAGGAGTGTTTAGGTGCACAGTGGGACTAGCCGATAAATATGGTAAGTGAACATGAGGAACTCTGTCTTACATAGGGCTGAGTCAAGAAGTCTTTTGCCAGTTAAATTTCAATGAAATTTGATACACTGAGTTCTTTAAATTGACGTGAACATAACAATTTGAATTCACCGTACTAAAGACACTGTTGCTATACCTCGTGATTCGGGGCAAGTTTTTGTTTTGTTATATAAGAGTCTTCTTACGTCTCTACACTGTTTTCAATGGATAATAAAGGCACAAAGGAACCAGTCCATTCCAGAGATGGTGGTTGCTATGCAAAAGCTTGCCCTGAATCACGAGGTATAGCAACAGTGTCTTTAGTCTGGGGAATTCAAATTGTTATGTTTATGTGCAGTCAGATAACTGGGTGTACCAGATTTTGTTCAAATGTAACTTGCAAAAGGCTTACATGAATAATTCACTGTTCAAATATTTGACCTTCAACTGGATCAAACATCCAAATATTCAGTTGTATCAACCGGCAGATTGTTGATAAACAAACCATATACAAAATCAGTTGCAATAATGCACACAGTTGTACATTACAATCACTATAATAGGTTCTCACGTTTAGGGGTATCTCCAGCCACGATTTAGCAAGATTTAATAGATGAACAGTACTTCGTGCCCTGTTAAAAATTTCTATTCCTTTCAAATTTTTAATGAATAATGTACTCTTGAATAGTTGTAATTGTCGCTTTTCATTTGAATCTGCTTTAAACAAGCCTCCACAGTGCAATTTTTCTCATTTAAAACAAAAGAAAATTCTCTCTTCCTTTTCATGAATTTTGCATTTAAATATTAAATTTGAAAAATATTATTTGGATATTTGGCACAGCCCTAGTGTTGCGGCTGAAATAACTCGGCGAGAAGAAACAAGAACCCATAAAAAAAAGTCAAGTGGTGGATTTGTCAACACATTTGTGTGCATGTTATGGGGTTCAAATCTCAGCTGAGGACGGCATGCAATGCTATGTAAAGTCATGAGAAACAGAACTGCTGTCAAGTCTGAGAATGCACTTTGTAGCCAGCCTGGCCTGACCAAACAGAAGTACATGTAGAACTTTTCAGAGCTCGTCATTCATGATTTTGAAGAAGCCATTTGAGCAAGCAAGCTTGCAGTGGGCTTGTGACCCCTGGTTGGGTGTCACATTTGTTTTGCAGTAATTGACTGAGTTTAGACGCCTCTTCCCAGGCAAGGACCGTGTGTTCAACACTCCGTTGTGCGAGCAAGGCATCGTGGGCTTTGGTATCGGCATGGCGTCAGTGGGAGCCACCGCTATCGCCGAGATCCAGTTTGCTGATTACATCTTTCCAGCTTTTGATCAGGTATGCCCTGTCATCAGTAGCCAGTTCCTCGCCTCCAGTGAATATCATCCAAAGGTTTTTTGTGTATGTGTGTTATGCAGGTTCCCAGTCTCGGACTTGACGTTCAAATCTTGTTTGTGGTTGACTTTTCCTTGGATGTGCTTTTAGTTGGGGAATTGTATTATATTTGATTGATAATCCTTAGCATGTTCAGGTGCTCAGTTCGGAGTAAAAAAAAGTTAAAAGTAAAAGTTAAGGTGGTAGAAACAGGAAATTTCTGCCACAAAACAGGACTTTGTTGTCTCCAAAACTTAGTACCAGATATTCACCCGGAGCTGATGAGGTTTAAAAAGCAAAATAGTTTTAGCCTTGGCCTAGCTGCCCCCCTTCACATTTGGGTTGAGAAAGTGCAACTGGCACCAGATTTGTGATTTTTTTTTCCTCATAGATCATTAACGAGGCTGCCAAGTTCCGATATCGATGTGGCAATATCTTTGATGTTGGAGGCCTGACGGTACGAGCCCCTTGGGGAGCTGTTGGCCACGGTGCCTTGTACCACTCCCAATCCCCCGAGGCCTTTTTTTCCCACATACCTGGTATAAAGGTTAGTGCTACGTCACTGGGGGTCAGATTTTCTTTACTCAAGCATTTTTTTACGCAGTAAGTATCTTCAACTACTTGTATTTTAAATTGTACTGGGTTGGATTGTTTTTGGACAGGTGGTCATACCTAGGAGTCCCATACAGGCTAAGGGTCTTCTGCTGTCATGCATTAGAGACAAGAATCCCTGCATCTTCTTTGAACCCAAGGTCCTTTACCGTGCGGCAGGTGAGACAGAATGGGACTGTTTGTGTTGTTTTCACTAGTAGTGACTGGATCTGTATTGGCTTTGGAGCAGGAACTGTAGAGGGTGCTGTTTGGCAGTCAGCCACACAGTTAGTGGCACTGTTGCTCTACATTTATTTTTATGTAAGATGTGAGATGCGGTAAGCGGGTTGACCAGTTATATGGCCCCCCTCAGTTATCATAAAACATAGGCACCAAGTTAGAACATGAATGGTAGAGATGTCAATGTGTTTCTTCATTGCTTCTCCCCCCCCCCCGGCGGCTGCATTCTGGAGAATCCATTTTGATCAGTTACCTGAAATATTGGTCTGGAAACCTGACTTTTATTGCGTCATTGTTTCCTTGCAGTGGAGCAAGTTCCGGTCGGAGATTATATGATACCACTTGAAGAGGCAGAAATATTAGTCGAAGGTGAGTTTTCACAATCTGCACCAGATTTTGGATACCTAGCTGAAAAAAAAATGTTGAAATGGCGATTAATGGTGGAGGTTAGCATTTTGACCACCAAGGGCACGTATATCAAGCCTGATTTGAATATCCCTCTCGGGGACAGTATTTGAATCTGCTGCCGTTGGTAACCTTGAGGTCTTCCTTTCCCTTCAGGTAGCGACGTCACCCTGCTCGCCTGGGGCACTCAGATCCATGTCATGCTGGAGGTAGCCCAGTTGGCCCAGGAGAAGTTGGGCGTGTCCTGTGAGGTCATCGACCTGAGGACCATCGTTCCGTGGGATGAGGAGACTGTCTGCAAGGTGGGTGTGGCCGTGTTGAATTTTGGAAGCGTTGAAGGATTAAGGTCGAAAGTTTGGACGGAGAGCGGAAATTGAACCATACAGCGGTGACTGTTTGAGTATGGCACCCAGTCGGAAGGAATGACAAACAGCACGGAATGATTTTTTAAAAAGACTTTAGTAGTAGTTTGGCCGAAAAAAGTCAAATGAGGGCGGTATATACGTCCAACAGAGACAAGTCAAAAGTGAGTACACACTGTTGTCCAGTTAGCCAGACTTTGTCTGAAGAGTGCTGTCAGAAGTATGTAGCGCCCCCGTTTGATGATAATTTTGACAAGTCTCCCATCATTCATGGACTTGCCTGACCATCTGACAGAGGGACTGTAATTATCGGCTGTGGCTGTGAATGACACATGTAGCAATGGAAGCCGTTGGCTGCATCATCTTCCCATAGACATGTCATGTTACTGCCAGGCGCAGCCCAGTTTGTGGACACAGCTTAAGAGCGGCCAGTGTCTTTGGGGGAAGGCCTAGGAAAATTACTCCTGAGAACGAGTGCGTTAACATTGCATGTTTGATGCAGAGGACTCGCATCAAGCACAGTGATTGGTGACACTCAGCACCTTTAAGTCCAACCAAATTAAGCCAGACTGACTTGTGTCAGCTGCAGAATGTGTCGTGGGACTTTGAATTAAACACCGCTGCCGAAAAGCAAACATGCCGCACCAAGTCTCACAGTAATCGCATCAGCCTTATCTTACAAATCCTTTTTCTGATGTGTGTTAACCATGTGCACAATGTTCATGAAAACATAACAAGTATATGCAAAATATTTTCTCATTTGAAAACCATTTACATGTGCATGGCTAATCCTCAGTTCTGTTCCCTAGATCCCATTTCATTCCAAAGTGTATTAATACATGTACTTTAAATGTCAACTTTTTATTGAGTGTTAAAATTAGTCATCTTTTTTGACTAGTTTCCAAACGAAATCTTTTTAGTTTATGAAAAATTCTCTGTCCTGCTGTGCTACACCTGACAATATAAGTTGATGTTTCAACCGTGCACTTGCCTGTATGTTTTTTTTTTTTAATTCAGTGTAGAAGTAAGTTATCATTTTGAAAACCATCTATGTGAGTAATGTGCAACTCAAGAGCTCATAATTTGCAGTAACATCCTGCTACGACAATATCTTTGATCATGTGTTCATATTTTTACCAAACATCCCTCGCCTCCCCTTTGATATGCCTTAATTTTATTCCAGGCTCCTCCCTCAGTGAAAACCCACAACCGCGCGTTGGACGAAGAATATGGAGGCATGCCTGACGGCATTATTAACTGCTATTTTGGTCTGTTTTAATCGCATTTGGAGTGGATCTAATTGAATTGGGCTGGACTTGGTGGTCTGGGGCCCCCTGTTTTTATTGAATTAACAGCAGCGGAGGAGTTACACTGAAACGAGCCTGCTTTCCCAATTGATGTTAATCACCAATTGATGCCTGTGGAATCGACGGTCTTAATCAGCTCGAAACTGGATTGTAATGCTGCTTAGGATCTTTGTTGTGTTGTTTGAGATATTTTGCAGGAAATGTGCCAGAGAAAGATTTCATGAATCCTTGATTGAAAGATCAATTGGAGCTTGCTGTAGAGTCTTTGAGAGTCTTTGTCAAAGTAAAACCCAAAATTGTTGTATCAGTAGTACTTTTGATCTTAATTTTGTTCCCTGCACCATTGCCTTTAGCGCGGCCTCAAGCCTCCGAGTTGAATACATAAGCATTCTAGTGCATTTAGTTGACGGCACTTTGGGGGGGGGTCGACAAAGATGATTGAACAGCCAACAAGAGGAGCGTTGTGCAAATATTTGCCACTCTAGACTGATTGGACCTTTTTTCAATTAACTATCACGCAGCACAGAAATGAAACAGTCTAGGAGGAAAAGGCTTTGTAACTCCTAACCTCCTCCCCAGCCAAAATCTGATTAACCTATATTTGGTGGACACATGATTGCAAATTCTCGGGGCAAAAGTCCCACATTGAGTTTGTCGTTCCAATGTTGTTCAAAGAAGAAGAAAATGCCATGAGATTAGTACGCACTGTTGGAGTGGAGCAGATATTGGAAGGTTCCTTGAAAAAAGGGCCCTGAACACTGCAATGTTAATTCCCAAGTCACGTGACATAATTTGTGGCAAGTCTAGGTTTGATTGTGTAGGTTTGATTTTGTCACCAGCCTGTAAACAAAATCCAACGATATTTATTTTGTCCTTTGTTTTCATTCAACAGTGATTGCAATCATAGCAGAATTGTTTTCATATTATTAGTGTAGACTTATCATTTATTTCCATTGTAGTCAGTGAAGAAGACGGGCAGGTTGCTAGTGGCCCACGAGGCCCCCATTACTGGTGGTTTCGCCGGAGAAGTCACTGCCACAGTTCAGGTGAGCCAAGACCCCAGGCCTCAAGCCCTCCAAACACCGCCGTGTGGTAAGACATCACACCCCAGAACCGTTCTGAAGCCGTAGTTGTTAAACCTAATGCAAACTCAGTTTTTATCTTATACTCCTGGAGGGCAGAATGGACTTTTGCAACCAGTTTTGTTGGTGCTCAGTTGAGCTGAATGGGGAACAATTGCCCAACGTTTATGGGTTTTGCAGAATGACACCAGTTAAAAAACAGAACCAGCGGGGAAAGTTCTTTCCCTTAAGCTCTGACAAGAAGTACTTTGCACTTTATGCAGGTTGTTTTTGATGAGTGTACAGTACATTTTTATGAGCATTTGTTACATTAGTTTTTTGTGTTTTGTTTTACGTTTCCACAACTGTGCATACTTTTGATAACTTTTCCAGTTTTGTTACAAGCGCGAGTGCTTTTCACAAATATAATAGTTATTAGTGTTGGTTTATTCTTTAAAAGCTTCAAATGTTTGTCCAGGAAAAAGAGCTCATCCTATCCTGCCTAGTTACATTGTTACAGTCTTTACACTTTTGATCCTGACATTTTCACCTCTAACTGATCCAATTCCATATAAATCGCCTGACAAAGACTTCCTAGCAGACTTCAGAGAGCCGGCAAGCCACCTGTGTTTTTGAGCCTTTGATGATGTATATTTGTGTTGTGTTTTGCCCTGGCTAGTGCATATGTTTGATGTGGATTACCCGTGCAAAACACTTTTAATGGGAACTGTATGTAGTCACGAGACACACTTTATTTCTTTCCCAAAGATAGTTTGATGACCCCTGTGTATCTCTGAAAGCGGCACTGGCTGATTAAGTTGCGATTGAATTACAGTAATCTGTAATCAAATTAAATGTCAATTTGAGTATCAAATGCTCAGGGAAACACTTGGAGGTTTTTTTTGGTACTTTGAGAGAAGTAAACAAGAACGGTGTAGCTTATCAGGAAAAAAAAAGGGCAGCATTGCGCATTATTGTGCATGTGTTTTCATCACCGTAGTAGGCACTTGTGAAAACAATGTAAGTTTCTTCTCAAAACTTGGGCAAACAGTAGGCGAACAAGCGAATGCAAGTGTCTTTGATTAAACAAGTGCCGAAGACAGAAAAGACAACATTTTGCTTCTGCTCAAGGCATGTTATTCCTCTACATAAGACATGAATATTGAAAATGTTCTCTCTTCTTCTGTAGGCGGAGTGCTTTCTGCATTTGGAAGCTCCAATCCAGCGAGTCTGTGGCTATGATACCCCTTTCCCACACATCTTTGAACCCTTCTACCTCCCGGATAAGTGGAGGTGTCTGGAGGCAATCAAGAAAATGATCAACTACTGAGGTCACTTGGCTCGGCCCATTGATGTCATAGGTAAGTCCAGGTGTTTATATGTATTATTTTTTACAGCTCAAAAATGTGCTGAACATTGAAATTTGCTAAGAGCAGAAAATATCTGATCAGCAAAATTGAGTTACCAGCCACGTGTCACATACAAATGGCCTATGACTTGTTCCCACTGTGTTGCTTACATTATAAAATTACATGATTTGCTAAGCAGTTGGTTTGATATGGTCGAAAGCCATGTCAGCCGATGAGTTTTCCTTGCCATTTTATTGGTTTCTATTTATTAATTTTGTTTAATTTCTTGTACGGAGCCATTTGGTTGAAATGCTGCCCTCTTGTGGCCACCTTAGTTTGACACTGACACTTGTTCTTGGTCGGCATAGGAATATAATTAATGCAAATGATGAAAGCAATAAGCGGAAGTATTGTAAATTTCTGCTGGTACGTTGTGTACAAAAGGATGTGTCATATGGAGATGTAGTGAGGAATTGTTTTATTAATCCATTTTGTAATAAGTTGCTTTTGTTCAAGTCTCCTATAAAAGAAATCGTGTGTGAAATATGAGAAAAATACCCATACCATGCGGTAGCTTGAGATGTCGACTGAAGCGGATCTCCAATTTTTCCTCGTATCACCAGATATCCATGAATAAAACATCTCACATCTGGCATAATAAAAGGGAAACACACTGCTCCAAGAATTTTTGTCTCGTTTTTTTACATCTCTAAAGATTTCCACATTTCCAGCTCTTGCAACGTGCTATGCCCATTACAATCTGTTGGCGTTCAGTTTCCAAATACCCGTCTGCAAAAAAATATGTCGATACGATACAATCAGTTTCATGTGACTCTGACAATCTCCAATATTTCCCAAGGTATTAGGATTCAGAGTCGGCAGGGTTTTCCCCCTCCATGTAGTTTGGTGGAAGTCATGGTCAAACCATTTTGACAGTGGCTGACCATAATTGGGTATAGCTGCATATATATATATGCAAATCAACATCTGTTTAATCATTTTGAGGAGGTTAAATCCTGGTACCAGTGATCAGTGGAATGGAGTTACCGTGCATCGCTTACGAGAAACCGCAGGTCGGAACTGTTAGCTTGTGTCAGCGGTACATGCTTTTCAATGCCCTCCCCCCAGATTGATACCAATGAATGTTTTCAACAACTGCTGGTCATGCCTGTTTCACCATTTGAGGATTCAAAACAATTTGTAGAGCCCAAAAAATTCAAGGTTTCATTTTAACAACAAGAGCAGGTTACTCATGGAATGTCATACGACTGGGGCCCAGTTTTGCGGAGCTTTACTTTTTGAAAGCAGAAAACCCTTATGGTTTTCATGTTTTTTACGTAATTTTTTTTCATGTGTGTGAGCTGTCCTGTAGCAACAGACCTCATGCCTATGCGTGTTCGCACGGGCCTGGCATGGAATAGCATAGACAATTTTGCGCATTTCTTGCAATTTGGCATCCGTCTGCATGCTGTTACAGGTGTGTTATAAGTTAATTAGGGGCAACTTTGGCTAAGCGTGTATGCCAGCAACCTGAACCTCTAGAGTGTAACAGGTGTCTTTTACCTAATATTGCAAGACAGACAGAGGGCTCTTAGCCGTGCATCAAGAAATGGTCAGGGCCCAAGTTCGCAGACTGCTTAGCTTACCTGCGAAGCAAAAGTTGGCAGGGCACCTGTCACAAGCAAGCACATTCTGGCCAGTAACCTGTTCTTACTGAGGAATTCTTTTCTTTCGCTAAGCACATAGCTGTGCTCAGTAGCTCTGTGAGATGAAATTGGCCCCCCCTTTTTTTTACACCTCACTTAGTTACACTTCATGTGAACAGTGCTTATTTCTGTTGGCATCATTTTGCCACCAACAATGTTTGCCATTTGTCTACAGAATGTATACAAAACATTTGAACAGGTCACTCCAGTGTACATGTACCCTGGGTTGGTGGCAAGCAAAATAACTTTCAAGATGTATTTGACATCTGCACTAGTAAGCAGGAGGTCGTGGGTTCGAGTCCCACCCGAGTAAGCTTATGAGGTTTTTTCACAAGCTCTAGGACAAGCACTGAGCATGCAGTGCTTATTAATATACACGTACGTTGGGTAAGGGCAAAGCCTGTTATATATAGTCAAAATAACCTTGTAGTGTGCATTCATGTACCCTTCTACCCCATCAGGATATTCAGGGGTTAGCCTGTGGCTTTCAAGGCATTCACGAGGGGCTCACATGGGCTTTCAAGCAGAAAAGTCCATTGTACCACTATGGTAGGATCACTGAAAGGTTAACCTCTGGCTTCAGTGGCATGACACCTCCGTCAACCAAGTAGTGATTGGGCCAGGGTCCTGACAATGTCTTTTATCCATGCTCAGAGAAAGAAAGATGCATGCCAGCACACACACAAGCTCATGTGGTTTTCATGTGGGAAAGATTGCTGGTGTTATGCTGGATGATGCGGTCACGGTAGACTGGCCGGCCAAAAAGAAGACACTCAGACTTGTAGACCAGGATAACTTGTTAAGCTGGACTTTCTCCTTTGTTCAGAGACCATCTACGTGGGCATGATTGATGGGTGTAATCTGGATGATTTGGTCATGGTAGAGCAAAATACATTCAAAATGACCCACTAGAATAAATTTTCAATCTGGTTATCCAAGCTTATGTATATTATGGCAGTCCATCAAGGATGAACTTTAATACATCTGGATTGTAATATCGAAAAGATTGTTAACACAGAAGGGCATAGTCAGTTTTCTGTGACATCTCCTGTTCTGTTCATCCCCTTTCTCTTTTGTACGTTGGGGTAAATCACCTCACAGCTGCAATGTTGATTAGTAAGCAGTGAGTGTGTGAGTGCAAGCATGCATATTAACTACAGCAATGTCCTGTATCATCTGGCTGTAGCTAAAAAGCCGTGTTCCCATTGGACTTTTTTTGGTTTACTTTCGGAAGCTTTCCTGTAGAATTACAAAATTAAATCCAATGGGAACACACAGTAAAGTAATGTCCGTGTCAACTTTAATGTACCGCATCTGTGATGTAAAACTAACAGGCCAAAAAGGGTCACGGAAGATTTCCGTGCAGCCACAGTAAGTCCAGTTCTTCTACAATGTACATTGACCATGACACGCCAAACCTATGAACAAGACTACCGCTACACAGAGATTGACAGCAGGCATACGAAAATGGTTGTATGGTTCCCAATCTCCTGTAGCAGCATGCTGCACACAGTGAACCGCACCTGGATGAAGCTGCACGGGTAATTCCAGAAGTTAGGGGTCCAAAACTGTGGCATTTTTGTGTCCCTGTTACATGTACATCTGACCTTTGTTATTTGACAAGGAAATATCACCAGAAATTGATTTCAAACTATTACTATTTGTTTGACAGGTAATTTGCATTAATTCATTACTCTTGGAAATTAGAAAAATGTGTTCTGAACTCGCAAAATCGTTTTTCAGATGTGACAGGGACACACAAAAAATGGACCCCTAATTTCTGGAATCACCCATACACACTTTGTGAACGGGTACATCTTCTTCAACTGCCACTTAGAAGTTGGCAGATTTTGCCAAATTTTTATGATTTTGTAATTTTTCTGGTCAGATTTTGTCAATTTTGTTATGATTTGTACAGCGCTGGCAATGTTTTCAGCTAGTCTTACACAGCAAATACAGGTAAACGTTCCATTATAGTAAAAAAGTCCATGTGGCAATGGTAGAGTGACACAGAGGAATGTCGTGATCAGTTTCCGCGTAGCTGCAGAAGAAAAGTCCAATGGAAACATGGCTTTAGAGTAAGAGGAACATGGTTGCAGCTGTTAGCCATTGGCCTCCCCAAGGCGCACATGCTGTTTTCCGGCTGTAACTAACAGTCTATAGTTACAAACCATTTTAAACACTCAAAGACACTTCCGTTAAGATGTTTTTCCTATACCCAAAATCCATTGCTGTCCTCTTTTCTCTCTCCTGAAACTGATTCTGTTTGTACACATTCTGGGGAAAAATGGTCAAATCACCCAGGTGCATTCTGTCTAGCTTTGCCTCCTTTAGCAGTACCTGTCCCTGTCTGTCCTGGCTCTTGTGAGTTGACCACACAAGTCCATCTCTAGTTCTTTTTTCCTCCCAATGTTGAGGTAGTGACTTCTGAGTGATTTTGTTCAGAATTGGCACATTGTGCTCACAGTTTATCCCTGTTTGCCAATGTTTTGTAGTATTTTGTTGGATTTTTTTGCACTTATATTTCAAAAAGTTTGGTAAGTCAGTGTTTTTCTGGTAAAAATGCTGAATAATATTTGACCATGCGGTGGCACTGATCTCTGCCGGAATTTTGAAAGAACTTCAAAACAATTTTTTTTCTTTTTGCGGTCAGAGAAAACGTCCAAAATGTGAAACATTTCAGCATCACCAAGTTCAGGCTTTTCATTAAAATTCTTGACTTCAAAAAAAAAAAAAAAAAAAGGCAGCACCATTGGAAATTCAGACAGAGGGTGATTGACAGAACTGTGTGTCAGATAACCATCTGGTCGGCTTATTTTTTATGGCCGACAAAACTGCTGCCAACCTCTGCCGACATGACAAAATGGAACCTTAACATCTCCCCATTTCTGGACCGCATACGTGCACGTGCACCTGTAATACTGGGAGACATCCTTTCCATTCTACACCATGATCAGACTACCCTGTTTTCAAACCACAGCACTTTTTTTGGGGGGGGGTATTTCACTCAGGTTTTAGTCTGATTATAAACGACCATTACTCTGCTGTTCTCCTGTGGCCCTCGTTTTACATGCGCTCCATTTTTCTGAACCTTGCACATGAATACTCGCGTGATTAATGAGTATCAAGCTGTTATTGCCAGAAGAATTGTATTGGAAGTGATATCGGCATTTTTATCTGCAAACGAGATTAAAAGGGTTCCATTATTTTCCTCATGTTTTCCGCAAATGTCAGCGAGTTTCTGTTCCGGAGGGGAAAATGCGAACAGCTGTTTGTCAAAACAAAAAGTCGACTTGCTTTAGCGCC